CTTTGTGCCTGTTTTTCAAGCTTTTTTTTATTTTATTTTTATGATGGATGATGATGATGGTGATGATGATGATGATGATGATTGTGACAACAAAACACTGTATTGTTGATGATGATGATGATAATTAAACTTTTTAAAGTGTTTGATAGATCAACTCCGTAAAGAACGCGTATAACCAAGTTTTTTTGGGTTAATTACAGTTAGTATCAGTTCAATTTCGTCAAAATTTTAAATCTAATTATCCACATTCAACTTTTACTCTTTAATTCAAGTTGCAATTGTAGGAGATCAACCCAAATTGAGTTGGCAGCCACATGGAAGGGTGGCCAACCCACATGGTAAAAAGAAGGCAAAGGAGAAAGCATGGAGTTGGCCATGTGAAGTCTTCACATGGTGGGACAAAACTTTCAACTGGACAGTAGCTCAAAGGAGAATATTGGGCTGGCAGCCAACACACCCATGAGGCCTCCTCCACCTTCTGTTTTGGTGTATAAAATAGAATGGTGATGGTGAGTTGAATACACGGCAAACATAGCAAGCAAGAGAGAAACACACTGCTGAGAGAGAGGCACAAAACAGAGAGAGCTAGTGAGAGCTATATTCTGTTTGTGTATCAGAGAGTGTGAGAGAGTGTGTTATATAGAGAGACAGTGAGTTGAGAGTGTGTAATCTCCTCCATTTGTTGATATATAACAACATCGCTCCCGTGGACGTAGGCCGGTTTGCCGAACCACGTTAAAACTCTTGTGTTTTTGCTTGTGAGTGTCCCCTGGTGTGCCCACGATTCGCAACAATTGGTATCAGAGCCCGGGTGGAGAAAAATCGAGTTTTTTCCGAAAGTGTCCAGATTTCGAAGTGGTCGAAATCCACTTTTGAGCATACCAGGAGGAAGGTCAGGAGGAGAGGAGTCCAAAACTTCAAACCACAGGCCAATCGGAGCTCTAACGCGCCGCCACGCGCCACCTGAATATCGAGAGTGAAGGCCACTCTCACCCACGCGCCCCACGCGCCGACGAAGGAAGAAGACGAGTGGGGGCGCGCGTGAAGCTGACGTCAGGCTGACGTCATCCTGAGCCGAGCCGAGCCGTCGAGCCGTTGACCGCGCCGCTGACCAGGCCGAGCCGCGCCGGAGCCGCGCCGCCAGCCAAGCCGCGCCGCTGAGCCGCCGTTGACCGCGCCCCTGCGCCGTTGACCGAGCCGCTGACTGCGCCGTTGACCAGCCGATCCGGAGGAATTATCTGGTGCTTCTCAGGCGCACCAGATTCAGCAAATCTGAACCGTTGAAACTGTTTTGGCTAGATCTAGGCCATTCGGAGTCCGTTTTTTGGCGATCCAATAGTGCGTTCCAACTATTTGAAATATTCCGGACCCATCCGTACGGTCAGATTCTTAAATCGGAATTTCTTTAAAAAGGGAAGAAATTTACAATGGCAGGAAAAGGCGCAAGTTTCATGATTGAGCCTTTTAATGGTAGTAATGACTTTACCCTGTGGCAGCAAAGGGTGAAAAACATTTTAACACGAGAAGGTCTGGTGAAAGCTCTTCTCAAAAAGTCCAACAAACCGGAAGACATGAAGGATGACAAGTGGGAGGAGTTGAGGGAATTGGCAAATAGTACAATTCAGTTGTATCTCGGGAACAACACACTCCGGGAAGTCATCAGTGAAGTAGATCCGGCGGAGCTATGGGCAAAGTTAGAGATGAGGTACAAGTTAAAGTCTTTGACAAACCGGTTATCTCTGAAGAGGTAGCTATATACACTTATAATGCCAGAAGGTGCGAACCTCACAGAACATCTGGACGAGTTCAATAGGATCACAATGGAATTGGACACCATTGGAGACAAGACCCAGGAGGAAGATAGGGCTATGATCTTGTTGGTCTCTCTACCTGCATCATATGAGCATCTCAGGACAACTCTATTGTACGGGAAGGATGCTCTTGGACTGGATGCTCTTGGACTGGATGAGGTGATTGCTACGCTCATTTCTCATGAGTCGATGAAGAAACAGGAAGGTAGCAGTAGCAAACACCCAGAAGGAAATGCCATGGTTGCCTCAGAAAATGAGCAAGGCAGAGGTAGGTCCAATGATAGACGGGGTAGATCCAAATCAAGAGGACGTTCGCAATCAAGGTTAGGCTTCAGGAGAAAGTGTTATTACTGTGATCAGGAGGATCACCTCATAAAAGACTGTGCAAAGCTCAAGGAGGACAAGGCACACAAGGAACAGGCGAGCTCATCAAATGTCGCTGCTGCAGTAAATGCTAAGGATGAGTATGCATTTACAGTTTCGTCGAGTATGACGAAACCTGACTGGATCTTAGATTCCGGAAGCACATATCATATATGCATGGATAAGAAACTTTTTTCTACCTACCAAGCCAAGGATGGAGGTATTGTTCGAGTGGCTAACAACACTGTGAGTAAGATTGTTGGCATGGGAACAGTACGGCTGAGAATGGAAGATGGAAAAATTTTCACGTTGGATGGAGTCCGACACGTGCCAAGACTGAAGAAGAATCTAATTTCCTTAAGTATGCTAGACATGAAGGGTTATAGCTTCACATCTAGCAAAGGAAATCTCAAAGTCATCCATGGAGATACGGTGATGCTACATGGACGACTGGAGGGGAATCTGTACAGGCTTGTGGAGAAGGTTGTGACAGACGGAACTACTGTCACTTACCGGGCAAGACGTACAAGACATGCACAGAAGAGACATAGGGCCCAGCAGACATGGCAACCAAAGTGTACAAGAACGCATGGAGGCAGTTCGGAGGTGCACAAGACGGAGCCATTGCGGCCAATTTTAAAGACAGCTCAGAGCAAAGAGACCAAGACAGCAAAGTATGTCCCAGGGAAGAAAGTTTCTTTTGCTCCTGAATTAGAGACATATTGGGATCTCTCCAAGACTGGATGGAAGGGAGAGATGCCATCTCAAAGAGTTGCAAAGTAAGCTTTGCATGGCACCCCAGTGAGGGGGTGCTATTATGGATCACCTCATATGGGTTGAGGGGGTGATTTGTAGGAGATCAACCCAAATTGAGTTGGCAGCCACATGGAATGGTGGCCAACCCACATGGTAAAAAGAAGGCAAAGGAGAAAGCATGGAGTTGGCCATGTGAAGTCTTCACATGGTGGGACAAAACTTTCAACTGGACAGCAGCTCAAAGGAGAATATTGGGCTGGCAGCCAACACACCCATGAGGCCTCCTCCACCTTCTGTTTTGGTGTATAAAATGGAATGGTGATGGTGAGTTGAATACACGGCAAACATAGCAAGCAAGAGAGAAACACACTGCTGAGAGAGAGGCACAAAACAGAGAGAGCTAGTGAGAGCTATATTCTGTTTGTGTATCAGAGACTGCGAGAGAGTGTGTTATATAGAGAGACAGTGAGTTGAGAGTGTGTAATCTCCTCCATTTGTTGATATATAACAACATCGCTCCCGTGGACGTAGGCCGGTTTGCCGAACCACGTTAAAAGTCTTGTGTTTTTGCTTGTGAGTGTCCCCTGGTGTGCCCAAGATATGCAACAGCAATGTCATATTTTCATTCATGTATGGCGTTAATGAAGCAAATTGTATACAGAAATTTTAGTAATTTGGCATTTTCGTTATCAAATGTACATTTCTGCTGTTTGTGTTTGGTTGAGAGATTTGGAAAAGGAAAGAGAAAGGGAAAGGAAAAGGAAAAAAATAGGTGAATTGTGAATAAAATATACTCATATTTGGTTGAGAGATTTAGAAAAAGAAGGAAAAAAAATAAGTGAAATATGGATAAAATATACTTATATTTTATTTAGTTTTACAAATCTCTTTTTTTTTCGTTTTTAAATTTTTCAACCAAACAAATGTTACGCCTCATATAGGAGCACAAACGCATGGCGGGAAGTTAATTTGAAATCGACACAGGCTATAGCTCAAGTGTCATAGAGAGGGCACTTAAGTGCCAGGTGCCTGCATTGTTTGTTATCTGACTACCTACACACTAACACTCTATATCAAAAAAAAAAATGTGAATTTGAATTCAACAGTGGTCAAGTTTTAAACTCTCCCAAAACTTGGCAAAATTATTTTAGGTAGTTTTTTCAACCCAAATTCCAATGGGTTCAAGAATCTGCTCAAGTATATATAGCTCCAATCTTTTACATAGTTGTAGCTTATCATTACACATGTATACTCTATATATATATATATATATGTGCATATATGCATGTATATACGGTCCTACCAATAACTCCACAGCTGTTCCATATTGTAATCTAGATGAACTAAGTTTAAATATTATAGTGTCATATTGGTTATTTGTGTCGAGCGACTCATGCTAGATTTGAAGATGTTTTTATGGTGTGGGGTCTTTGCAAATCTTGTTTGTGATGAAACAAACAATTATAATTAATTGTATTACTTTATACTTGCTGGTCTTAATCAAACTTTTGGTATGTCTTATTTATTATTGTGGCCTAAGTTTCCAAATTCATGTATTGATTTGTTGGGGACATACAAGCCTAACTATAATTGGTGGGTGGTGTTGATCTGGAGTTTTGGTGCACTGAGGAGCCAAAGATTAGCTCATTCAACAGTGATTTTGATCTGTCCCATAAACAGCTGTAAGTACTCAATTGGTGTTTGCGAATCTTTTTGAATAATTTACATTTGGTTGGATGTAATTTTTGGTTTTTATAGTAGTTTTATTCATGCAATTTGCAGTTGAATTGCATGGGTTTTTCTTTTTCTTTTTAAATATTATTTTATTGACTGTTGGTGTCAATCACTTATCTTACCCACTACCTTGTTGAAAGTTGTGTGTAGTGTACCATCAATTGATTTAGTGCTATATATTTGTCATAACTGAAAGGGACATTTTAATTTTATAGAATTTTTGTTGAGTTTATTTGAATTTTCTATAATATTATGCCTTGGTGTTTCAATGAGAATAGGCCAACGTGGAAGGACCACCGAGTATTTTGTTTTGCAAGTTGAGGTTGTGGATGTCGGTTAAGCCTGACCATTACTTTATGCCTCCTTTCTGTTTGGTCCTAGTACAGATCTTCTTTGTATTTGGCCCCAAACGAGCCTATGTGTAGACTAGCTTGCTTTGCAATGCATATCTTATTGAGTATATTAAACTCCAGGAACACCAGCATTTATATTCCTGTGCTTCCAAAATAAGGACAAGCTCTCCATTTTCTGATATTGTGCTTCTGATCTTCCATCACGCATTTTTTATTGCGAGAAAATGAAAACTAGGAGAGGAAAGCGCTCTGAGGTATGCTTGGATGTCTGTTTGATGTGTGTGTGTGTTTTGTGAGTCCAAATCCACTACGAGGTTGTTGATAAATGTTTTTTGGATTTCCATTATTGTGCAGCAATTTTGGCCTTCCATTGTGATGAAGAAATGGCTAAATCTCAAACCCAAGCTGAATGATTTTAGTGACGATGAAGTTGACACTGAAACTGAGAGTGAGGATGATGGTATGGATTTCACAAACTAACCATGGCGATTCATTTCTTGCACTTCATGTGCTTGATCAATTTCTCTTCTGCAATTTGCTTGCAGCTTGCTCTATTAAAGAGGCCAGAGTGCATGCGGTTGAGGATCATACCCACAGAATACAAGGGAACCAATCTGCATGCGTAACTCAAACGTCAGGCAATACATAATTCCCATTTCGAATGATTTCATTGCAACATGATACCCACTCCATTTATTTCTATTCAAGCTTGAAATTACGTACATCTAATGCTGTTTTTGCTATTGCTTGAGTCTTGTGCTTTAGCATTTTATGACCATATACTATCACTAAGAACATTTGGTGGTCTGGTGCCATTTAGTTTTTTTTTGTCGTCAGATTTGCTCAATTGTTTGATCTTTGTGATTGCTTTTCTGTAATTGATTATGAAAATTGTGTTTTCACATAGAGTTGATGAACTTCGTTGTTTCACTCACAGAGAAAGCAGCTTCAAATATTCATATTCTAATTTTCACTGATGAACCCAATGAAGTGAAAGATGACCATATGACAATAGGAGTCTCAAATTTTAAATCTTTTTGTCCAGGAGCACCTTCAAAGGGCTATACCTCACGACACAGGAGAGGAAAATCAGAAACTTTGCGTCTTCAGTATATTAATACAAAGGATGTGAGGTTCGGTTCTAAAAGAATACCGTCTGGTTTCTAGTTTTTGGTAAAGAAAGCTCAAATGCTTTGCGTTTATCTCACTACATATTGTAGCATGTGTCTTTGTATAGGGTGACAATAGGCACTTGGAATGTTGCTGGAAGACTTCCATATGACGATCTTGAGATTGATGATTGGCTTTGTATGAAAAAACCAGCAGATATTTACATTCTTGGGTGAGTACTTATATTGAAACATCTGTTCAAGTTAATGAGATCCTTGCCAATTTGTTCATCACGAGTAGTGGAAGAAAAAATAAAAGAAAAGGAAGTTGAATATTTATAACAACATTATAAAAGAAAAGGCAGTTGAATATTTATAACAACATTATATACTAGTGGATTTTATGGATGCATAAGGAATATTGAACAATTCTTCCAAACTGAGAAACCATTTCAGAAATCTACTTACAATCCCTTTAACTAGCTTAATACACAATAACTACTTTGTGGTAAAGGGTGTTAGGATTAGTAAAGGTGGGTCCTATACAATTAATAGGTTTGTTTATATATGTATTTAGTTTAAGATAGTAGAGTCCGGAATCTATTAGGAAACCTAATAGGTATAAGATTTGGTTAATTAATTGTATGAAATTAGGAATCTCATAGATAGACTATTATAAATAGTCATGTGTACTATAGGGTTGCTCTGAGAGAATAGAGATGTAAGGGGTGAGAGAAAAAATACCATGGGCACCGGGGCAGGCAAGGGCTCAAATACCCTTGAGCATGGGATTTGGGTAGTGATATGGGTTTTGAGTATTTTGGTCACATGTATTCTTTATTTTATTCATATAGTGGAAACTCTCTCCCATGTGAATGTTGGCAATTTGGGTCGAACCACGTAAATCTGTATATGATTGCTTTTCTCTTTGGTGTGTTCACGAGTGTGCTTCCGTTTGCGTTGGTGGGATATGCTATAAATCCCAACAAAGGGTTTAGTAGATACAACTTATATACAGTTAATTTTTTGCCTTAGTGTGTATGGACATCAGGTGGAAATTCATCAAGTCTACTTTTCTCTATGGAAACTGATTTTTGGGTTAGAGCTAAAATTCAAATTCTGTTTCATTCCCCGTGTATTTAATGTGAACTCAACATTTATGTAATGGTTTGCTTTCATCTCCCTTTAAAATTAACAAGTTCATTTAGGGGTTTAATGTATAAGTCACCAATGTATTTTTTTTTTTAATATTATTCAAAATGATTTATGTCTATTGTTTATTATATTCTTCAAATAAAGGCAATTCAGCATTTACTGAACAACTCTATGCGTTGTTAGAACTGTATATGCACTGGAACACACTTGATGTAGTTTGCAGTAGAATCTTGAGGGTATCATAGGGTGAACCTATTAAGTCATCAATTGTCCCAACAGCTTAAACTGTTAGGAATTGAGCCCAACTACAAACATCCATACATATATATAGAGAAGAAAGAATGTCAACCAGAGATTGAATGCAAACAGGGACCAAACGCAAACTAAGAGAATTGAATCCAAGATTTTTCCCAAACTGAGCTCTGATACCATATTAAGTCACCAATGTTCCCAAAATCTTAAAGTTGTTAGGAAATAGGTTCAACAATGTATATCAAGCTATCGAACATAACTGAGATATGACCATATCAATCTAGCATCAGATCCAGTTATGAGAAATATCTCTGATCTAAAATTTCAGTACATATTCTCAAAATTTAAACAGCCATGGAGAAAAACTTATTTGGTTCTTGTTTTCTCGGTGTCATATGTTATTTTCGTGTGTGGTAGTTGAAATATGTGAGGGTTCTTTTAGACATTGAGATCATTCCATTTTGTTTTCACACATGTTTTAGGGTCAAGTGCATCATATTGATAAAATTTTAAGCTCAAAAAAGAGACCCATCAAGGAAGTAAAAATACATAAACATTATTGACCAATAATACATATCATTTCTTGGAATACCGAGAATGATCCTACTTCATCTTCTACAATGATGATTTGCAATGGTCTGGACACAATTAAAGCATAGCAACGGTCCCTATACATAGCCACATTATACGAAGAAACATGACTCGTGATCAAAAGTTAATAGTTGCTTAAACTTTCAAAAGACGTTTAGTCTTTATACATAGGATCATGTAACTAATATTCAGGGTTTCTGTGGCTTTTGCATTTCAGAGATAATGATCCTCCAATCTTCTTGGTTTATACTTTTTTGTTTTGAAAAACTGCTCATCTACTAGTATTAAAATGTACTACATACTGGTGTATTCGTTGTTTCCTGTGTTTCACACATCTCATCTGGATAGATTTGCTCTGACACCTGGATTAACTCCTTTTTGCTTTAAAGAACTGGTCATCTAATTTCATTAGTGTACTGGTGTTCAACCGAGGTTGTGGTATTAGTTATACGAATCTTTTCCTGTTTTCTAATGCCGGTCTATCAGATGTTAGTTTCAGAATAAATATCATTCTGTCATTCACAATGAAATATTTGGTTGCTGAGAACATTAATCTTTAAGATGTTTTTAATTTACATTAGATTTATATCAACCTTTTACAGTTTCCAGGAGGTAGTCCCTTTAAATGCTGGGAATGTACTTGGAGCAGAGACTAGAATGCCAATTCCAAAATGGGAAGCAATTATCCGTAGAACATTGAACGGATCTCTGGAACCCAAAACCGAACACAAAAGTTATACTGCCCCACCTTCTCCCGTATTAAGGACTTGTTCTTCTGCTGATATACTTGTAGATGAGATTGACGATACTGCATTCGCGATATTGGGTGAAGGGACTATAGGCACCACTAATGCTAGTTACTCTGACACATGTAAACTGAATGGAATCGTTGGTATGGGGAAGAAACTCCAGTTGAAGAGAATATATGGCATTGATATTGACAGTAGATTGGACTGGCCTGAGCAATCCTTGGATACAACACCTCAAGTTCTCTCTTCTGGTTTAAAATTACGTAGAGTATTGAGCAGTTCTGCAAGAGTTGGCTCTGATTGGATGGAGAATCCTCTTATTTTCAGTCCTCGAAATATTGCATGCAATGGTGTTGAATTGAAAAGATCGTATCGTAGCTCTGGAAACCTTGGATTGCTTTGGATGAATCAAGAAGAGAGACCTACAACTCTTGATTCACTCACTGATGTCTCTGACCAACTTTCTGAAGAGGAAAAGGATTCTTTTCTAGAAATATCTGATGTGCAACATGAAAATGAACTTTGGAAAGATGAAGTGAAGTCATGTCGTAAGTATGTCCGAATCGTCAGCAAGCAGATGGTAGGGATATATGTGTCAGTTTGGGTGCGCAAAAGTTTGAGGAGTCATGTAAATAATTTGAAAGTCTCTCCTGTTGGAGTTGGGCTTATGGGCTACATGGGTAACAAGGTATGGCTTTATATTCAGGCTAAAACTGCTCCAAACAACTATTTGCCAAGCACACTGGCATGCCTACTTTGTGTTTTGAAACACATCCTACATAATTATGACTGTTTTCTTACTCAATATGGGTTACATGGGCGAAAATTAAGGCCTCCTTTGATACTAGCTTATAAGCCAGCTTATTTGGGTTTTTTAAGTCCGATAAAGCCAAAAATCCGTTTTGTCATTTGCCACACACTAAAAACCTAAAAAGCCAACGTATTTATTAAAATTAGTAAAAAAACAAAAGCTAAAAAGTTGGTTTGCTTCACCCAAAAAGCAAAAAAATTCAAACTTTCATTACTAATATGGTGAATGATTTTGCGCAGTTTGATGTGTTGCAGTTAGATTGGCTACTGGAAGCTGATTGCATTGTAGATGCGCCAAACTTTCATTACTAATATGCACTTAATATAAACATATTTGCATTAACATTTAATGGGTATCAAACTGAGAAATGTTTACTGATACAGGGCTCTATTTCTGTTAGCATGTCTCTTTTTCAAACACGGCTTTGCTTTGTCTGTTCTCATTTGACCTCTGGTCAAAAGGATGGAGATGAGCAGAGGCGTAACTCAGATGTGCACGAAATCTTAAAACGTACTCGTTTCTCACCTGTTCTGAATACTGATCAACCACAGACAATTCTATCTCACGAGTAAGCACGCTTTTACTTAAATAAGATGGCCTTTTCTTCTGCAGGCTTGGTTTTAACTATAATGGGATTGTTCTTGTTACCTTGCTTGAATTAAGAATATAAAAATTTTACGGGTTCAGATGCTATAGATTTTGTCATGTTAATAATTATCAAACAGATGGCTTTGAGCAGCCAACTAGGGATTTAATTTTTCGTTTTTTGTTGTTGTATTTTGACAATATATGTTGAACATGAATTTCTGATGGAGTGCTTCTTTAAACAGCCAGAAATTTTGGTTTGGGGATTTGAATTATCGTCTCAATATGTTGGACGCAGAAGTAAGAAATCTTGTGGCCACGAAACAATGGGATGAACTTCTGAAAAGTGACCAGGTGAGAATCGTACCCCACTAAATTTTTTATTTGTCCTGATTTTTGTGAAAAGTCTTCTGCTTTTGATCAAACCACGGACGAATTAAGATGTGGATCTGCTACTAATCAGACATTTTTAATCCGCGCTTTAATGTATACATATTAATCTTATAATTGAGATAGTGACAAATGGAAACATGATGGATGTGGCAGCTGAGCAAAGAACTTTGCAACGGGCATGTGTTCGATGGATGGAAGGAGGGGGCAATAACCTTCCCACCCACTTACAAATATGAAATCAACTCAGATAGATTTGTTGGTGAAAACCCGAAAGAAGGGGAGAAGAAGAGATCCCCTGCATGGTAAGTTTGACTTTCTTGGAATCAACAAGATTAGAAACCCTAGAATTAAGGAAAAGAGATTAGCAGGGGTTTCCCTTGCATTTTTTATTTGTGTTATAGCATAAACTCAATTTTAGAGTTTTCGCAACTATTAGGGGTGAGGCAACAAGTTAATACATATATTTGGGGTATTATGCAGGTGTGATCGTATACTATGGCTTGGGAAAGGCATAAAACAGCTTTCTTACAGCCGAGCAGATATAAGGCTCTCAGATCATCGACCTGTTAATTCAAATTTCTTGGTTGAAGTTGAGGTTTTTAGCCACCGAAAGCTGCAAAGGGCTCTCAATTTCACTACTGCAGCAATCCATCCCAAGATTTTCCTTGATGAAGATGAAGATGAAGATGAAGATGACCTTTAGCAGATGGCAGGTATCTAGCAAGCATAACACATGGAGAGAGTTGTCATTCTTGGTTTCAATGCTTGGAAAATCCAACACAACTGTACGAAAAAATACATGTAATTGATCTTCATTTTGTTTTTATAACCTGAATGCATTGTTGTCTAAGGTGGCATAATATGAATAAGAAATCATCTGAGCAGGGACACTAACACATGATTATAGACGCTCACATAAATGTGGACCCCACACTCTTTAGGCCACACAATAACGTAAATATATGTGATCCATTTTGTGTTTGGTTCCTATGTCCCTAGCATTTTTGCATTGCCAAATGTTACCATAATGTCAATTCAGAGATTGCACACACAAAACACACACTACCCCAAAAAAGAATGCTGTGGATTGAATGTCTCTATCAGATTTGTCATTGTTCATCAACTTACATACATCTCTCTCTCTCTCTCTTGATCGATGATCCTATCTTCTTATCACTTAATGCCTCTCTTACTTTGGTTAAATTGTTTATAGGGGGGAGATTTTAGCTTATGGGGCAAGTGGATTTCATTTTCATCCTGGATTTCAGCCCTCAAAAACAGACTTGCAAATGAGTATACAAGTTCACACATTTTCAAGAATCAGTCGGGAAAACACATATATCAGAGAAAGAGCAATTACCAGAAGACATGATTTCTGAAAAGTTCACAAGTTCAAATGGAATTTTATTAAATCCATGGTTTCAATGGTGAGTGATTGAACTAAACTTGGGTCTGTACACAATGGAATTCATTTATCTTTTTCTTTGTTTCTTTCTTTCATCCTTCTATTTTGATGGGGGGTTTCTTGTAACTGACTAATTCTGACGACACTTTTGTTTTGTATTTCTTCCCATTTCATCAGTAATAAGTTGGTTGGTTATCAATATTTTTTGGAGTCTTACTCGGATGCTTTAGCTGATTGTACTGTTATGAAAGCTATATCATACTTTTGCCAACTTCTTGATGTTTCAGCTGCATGTAGATATGCCTCCATCCTGTTAATTTATTCATTTTGGTTTGTCCACAAGGAATCTAAGTCAAATAAAACAAGAAAGCAATAATCATTTTACTTGAAAGGAAAACCCTACATTGGGTATTTTTTTTTAATCTCTAATTTCGAGACATGATTCAATGGTCAGGAGTGTATTAGAACAAGGGAACAAAGAGATTTAAGGATAAAATATTTGTGCCCCTAAATAATTTAGTATTTTTTTTTTAATCTCTAATTTCGAGACATGATTCAATGGTCAGGAGTGTATTAGAACAAGAGAACAAAGAGATTTAAGGATAAAATATTTGTGTCCCCTAAATAATTTATAAACAAGAAAGGACAACCTATTTCCAATACTTCTTGGCATATCAATAAATCAATACCCTTTTTCTAAGTGTGTTTGGCAAGTGGTAAGAATGTGTCTTTATCCACTGAATATATATATATATATATATTTAGTAAAGTATTTATCCAATAATTTAGTTCAATTATAATCTTGTTAAAGGCAAATTCAGTATCTTCCATGGATTTTAATTATACTACAGATTAGGTTCCAGCTCTGCTTTGCTTTACGACTTTGTCAAAACGATTTTGTTGTACCTAATAAAGTAAAAATGGATTGGGGTTGAATCCTAGTTGAGAATTAAACCTGGAATATTTATTAGGTTATTGTCAAATTGGTGAGTGAAGAACAATTATCACTTTAAAGAAATTCTACGTATTTGGAAAAATATCTAGAATTTAAATATATGATAAACATTCAAGCTTTCAGTCATGTTTGATAACAGATGTAGATGTTGGGACTGAATTGCTAATACCGTGAACCCAAGGAGGATGCCATTGAGAATCCAAAACTACAGAATTATGTGGCTAAAGACAAATTTACCCCCATTGTATATAAACAACAAATGTACCTTCTATGTAATGAGGACTTATAATTGATGTTATATATCAAATCCCAATCAACTAATGCAAAATAAACATGAACAATGGGTATTGATGTAACAATCTTGTCATAAACATGTACAATCAGCATTACATTTTCAATCTAATACTATCACACAAGTATTTCCTCAACAAGTACATAATCCTACTCAATCTATATCAGTTATCAGAAATGGCCTTACTGTAACGTCATAAACATCATAAATTAGCAATACATCTTACTACTAATTCCATCCTTTGGTCCCAAATGAATACATAATCTACTCAACTCATACCTGTTATATACATATTTTAAATATTTTTCTACATTCATATATGTATATTCTGAAAAAGTAACATTGCTGAGGACATTAGGTCCAGCTGGTGCTTAGAAACATGTCACTTGATTATGCATCATACATTCCTAATAAAGGGAACAATTAGTTTGAGTTAGTTGCATCTAACTTTGATTAATAAAGTACAAAAGGGAATAACCTCCCAAGATTAAGTTAGTTTGAATAACAAAGAAACATCCAAATCAGTGCAAGAAACTCACATCGGTTGAGGTTTTTATAATACAAGATTCTCATATCACAGCGGTTTTAAATTTATTTTCTAAAATTCTTGTAGTTTTATAATTCTTTAGAATTGAAATCGCAGATGTAAACATGACTACAACTCTATAAATCATGTTTTGAAATCATAACTTCATAAAATAACTCAAGTTTCAAAAATAAACTTCAAACAAAGTGACTTCAAAAAATAATTAGTGTAAAAAAATTATAACTGTTTGAATTAAAAAAATTGATTTAAAAAAAAAAAAAGCACTCCTTATCTTCGTTGAAAGAAACATCATTTGACTAGTGCCACATTCCATAGCAACATATATATATATGTAACCAAGGCAGGTACAGAATACATATCTTGTTTTGGAGTTTCAGTAATGGATTTGCTGCGAACATGGTTAATGATGGTAGTCTTGATATTCTTCAATGGGATAGGAGGTTCGAGTGATGGTGGACCTCTGGTTCTTGATTACTACAAAGAAACATGTCCACTCCTTGAAGAGCTTGTCCAGCGCACTGTTGAAATTGCGGTACTCAGAGATCCTCGCATGGCTGCCTCTCTCCTTCGCTTGCATTTTCATGATTGTTTTGTCATGGTGAGTCAACCCCTCTTCTCTATCTTCAAATGGACATTCACACAAACCAGTAATGCTACATACTCAGAAAAAACGTTCTCAAAAAATGTTTATAATATGAAAAATGTTCCAAAAAAATCTTTAAAATACAAAATGTGCAATCATATTCATCCTAAAAACAACTCACGTCACACATTTCAAATTTTGACATTTTTCTGAATATTTTTTTTCTTTTTGGGTTTATAGCATTTGTATGTATTAACTATCAACAACATAAAGAGAATGAAAAGAGCAACACTAACCAAAGTAAAATGGGTTGCGAGCATGTTTTGATGTTTTGCTTTCTGGATCATCAGGGATGCGATGCATCGGTTCTTCTGGACAGCTCTGGAAGCATCATAAGTGAAAAACAAGCTGGTCCTAACATAAATTCGCTGCGAGGATTTGAGGTCGTCGATCACATCAAATACATTTTGGAAGAGGCTTGTCCTTCCACAGTTTCTTGTGCTGATATCTTAGCACTTGCAGCTCGCGATGCTGTTGTCTCGGTATATATTGTCTCTCTCTTAAGCATAAATTTTCTTCTACATGCATGACTCTAAAAATCTATGTAATATTTGAGTTAAACTAATTTGAGATTGATTCTTCATATAATATTAACAAACCAAAGTTGACATATTTTAAAATTTGTTAATTTTTTGAACTACTCATCTATATGCACTATACAAAAACAAGCTACTTGAGCTTGGCTCAAAAAATTAATTAAAAAAGAAAAAGAAAGAGCTTAATTACAATTTAAAGCTCATGAGGAAAGACTTGAACTTTTAACTCCTAGTGGTGAAATGTTTTCTAGTAAGGTAGGTAAACCTCGGTTACCAAGAACAAAGTAAGCCATAAAAATAAGACAATTTTTTTTTCCCATATGAAAATTCAAATACAATTTATACGTCTAGCCTACTTGTAAAAGGATGGGAAAAGGGAACCACTAGGTAGTTCCTTTTTTTTACAGATAGAAACTAAATAAGCATTGCCCATGCCACCCAACTCTCCTCTCTGACAAGAGTCCAACCCCTAGTCTCTCGTACGTGAGAGGCAAGTGATAACCGCTGGACTAACAAAGGCTAGTGCTACACTCACAAGCCTTGTTGCAGTGTTTCCCATATCGAATTTTCTTATTGCCATTACATGTATTTTCTAAGATGACATGCTGTTTCTCTTGTCAAAAAGAGAGGTGGACCCAGGTGGAATGTTTATTTAGGCAGGAGAGACTCCATTAAAGCAAGCTTTGATGGTGCCAACAAATTCGTACCTGCCCCAAATTCCTCTCTGGAGACTCTTATTGCCAATTTCCAAGAACGGGGTCTCGACACTGGAGACTTGGTTACTTTATCAGGTAATTGATCAACCTGATCAAGATCAAACCATATGATATGGAGCAGTCTAGAACAGCTAACCAATTCCACTGATTTTTTTTTTGACACCTCCAACTGTTGACAGGTAGCCACACAATGGGAAAGGCAAAATGTTTAAGCTTCAGGCAAAGGATCTATGAGACCATCTCCGAAGAACAATCATACCATTACAAGAGGGGCACAACCTTCCAAAGATCGTTACGATCTATATGTCCTAAATCAGGGAGAGACAGTGCATTGGCACCGCTTGATTCGATGACTCCAGCTAGGTTTGACAACCATTACTTTCTCAACATCATTCAAGGACAAGGTCTTTTAATATCCGATAATGTGTTGGTCAGTCAAGATCTTGAAGGGGAGATAAGAGAGCATGTTTGGGCTTATGCCAACAATCAAGAACTGTTCTTCGCTTCATTTGGGAATTCAATGATCAAGATGGGAAACATCAACATACTCACCGGAGAGCAGGGAGAGATCAGGAAAAATTGCAGGTTTGTAAATTCATAATGAAGATGGGTATTCCTGTTATTACAATGATAAAACGCAACGCAAAAGGTCCAAGTAGCTAGAGAATAGATCCTAGGGCATTAGCTTTACAGGTCCAAGTAGCTAGGTTGTTCTAGAGCTTCCCTAGTTAGGTTAAGTCAATACTTAAATTTATAGGGCTCATACAAGGTTGTATTTTGAGAATTACATGCTACTACATTGTTTGAACTGCCAATAAGTCAATTATCACCACAGTGGTCACTAGTTTCAAAATAACAAAAACAGTAGTCACATAAGGATCTGGAATATTAAATAAACAGCTATCAGATCAGGATTACCTGAAAGGATAGTGTATTCTGATAAATGCTCTTGCTACCTCAGTGTTGGCAGGGTCATTTGGCCCGAACCATATGAAAAGAACAACACTTCCCTCCTACATAAAGATTTTAAAAGAATACATGAAAGAAACTTAAAAAAGGTTCTATTTCAACAATTAAGCTTGAAAGACACAAGCAAAAACTACTACTGCTTTATGAGACTCAACTCTTACTGTTAAAACTAAACCAAAAAAACAAATGCTAACCACCGCTTGTTGTTGAAGTGCATAATTAGAATTGATCCCTAAATATTTTTTGAAATGGAATAGCACCTGATACCACTAGACTATTGGAGCAGTTGATTAATAATAATAAGCTTGTTGATTTTTACATAATTTCTATTGTTCACACCATGCTTTTATACAAAAAATGATTTGGGAGATTGAACTGAAACCAGACAAATAACATTTTTTTAAACGGGTCAAGCATGGGCCAAAGGTAAGACCCTCATTGCACCCATTTCAATGACCACATAATATGAAGAACAATTTTGTTCACACACTTTTATGTTAAGGACATATGATAAAAGTGGATGAACAAAATCGCTCTACAGGTTATGTTGTCACCATTGCACAAAATACATTTTAATAGCACTATCCTTTTGTCCAAATAACCACTAATTGATGCTGTACTATTGTCTAAATAATAGCAGCACCTAACAAAATTGCTAGAAACCCCAAACTTGTACCAAAATTTATACCAAACACTCACAAGAGTGTGGATCCTACACGTGAGTGTTGAGTCAAAATTTTGATAGTACTTTTGGTATCGCTCACAATGCTCATTGCCTAAACAATGTACAATTTCTTTGAACTACAATTCACCTGCTTCCAAAAAAACCCCCCAAAAAAAAGTTGGAACTTGTCACTACAATACAAGCAGAAGGAAGCAAAACTTAGAACCCACCAAGCAGCCAAGTACAATAATAATAATAATAATAATAATAATAATAAGAGCAAAAATACCACTTCTTGAAATCTTTATGTTCACTATGAAATTTCAATTATCACACAGAAAATTAAGAAATCAATATGCACACTATGCTATTGAAAAAATCACAACTATGACATTGAGAAGCCAAAGCCAACCACAACAAATCCTTTCTAAATAATAACGGCAAAAAGAATTGCTGTTCAAAATCAAAATATTTCCTGCAGAAATCAAATGAAAGATACAAGTATCTCACTATTAAAAAACGTCAATGAAAATAATTCAGACACAAATTACTCATTAATTAATTAGATTCATCCTTTGCCAGTGACCAAAAGATGACCAACCATTAGAAATGTACACTTGCATATCAAGAAAATTACCAGAAATGAATTATAGGGGATTAGTTTATTACTTATCAATGGGACTAGTAATAGTTGCATATAATAAGACACAACTATCATAATAAGACAAACAGGCCAAAAACTTACAAAAAGATTTTCCCTAAATGCCAACAAAGGGAAGATTAAAAAACATACAAAACCGACATTTTTTATGTCCTATGTAAAGCTTGATTAGCCATTCATAAAAGGAGAAGATTAATTACATTAGAAAGGAGATGCTATGACATCATCCAATAATTTAAAATAATAAATACTTCTAATTTCATGTTACATTGTACTCTATAGTATATGCAATTACATTCAATATCTTAGTTTGCTAGTCAGGTATTACTAATCCTATGTGACATTACCTCAACAAATCATAACCGACATATTGTGCACTTATAATAAAAACCCCACACAAATGTATAGCTTCTAGGGCAGTTGGGCATTGCCAACAATTATATACAATAATTTTCCAAATATAAGAAAATATATCTAGAGTATTGTGCAATAAAAGGTAAATTTTATAAAACAACTATTAGACCAACGATGTTGTATGGGAAGGAGTGTTGGCAACCAAGAAACAACATGTAAATAAGATAAATGTTGCTCAGATAAGGATGCTAAAGTGAATTTGTGGCAAAACTAGACAAGACAAAATTATGCATGAATGTATTCGAGAATGAATAGAAATAGCACTGATAGAAGATACATTGAGAGAGAATCGATTGATATAGTTTGGCTATATTCAACGAAGACTAATAGAGGCAGTGGTGAAAAAATGCAATACAGTGACGGTAGATGGAAGTATTAGGGGATTGGGTTATCCTAGATTAACGTTGGCTAACGTTATAAATAGATATATGAATCTACTTAATTTGACTAACAAAATTGTCTTCGACAGAGCCGTGTAGAGAATAAAGGTTCATGTAGCCGATCCCATTTGATGGGACTTGACTTGGTTTAATTTGACTTGGTTTAATTTTCCGAACATAAGAAGTTGAAAAAAGAGAGAGAGAGAGAGAGAGATCCCAAATCTATAGCTTTTAAAGAAACCAAAAGGGAAATAGAAAAACAGGTCATTAAAGTAAGCAGCACAAATGCACTGAACTTCTTAGAGGGTTGTGTTGCAGTGACAGGTATACAAAATCAGATCTTCACAGCACATGAATTCTAATAAACACATTATGCACAGAAATTTGAATGTATATATATAAACAACAGAAGCATGAGAACACACATACAGAAAAACGTATTAACTGGTGTCAACAATTTAATCAAGTTGACACACAATTGAGAAAACGACAATAGTCAGAACTCATTAGTGTAAATCGATAACAATAGTCACAACTAGCCATTTCCAACATTTTTAAAAAGGAAAAGCAGTTGATTGTGGTTGTAGCTACTATTAATCAATCATGGAGATCAGCAGTTGAGAAAATGAATGGGATCCAGGAGTGTTCATCAAGCAGCAACTAGAGGACAAGGTTATGGCCAAGCCTTAATTTGTTGCATGTAAAGATAAAAGGCTTGACCAGGGTAACATACTCTTCCACCTCTACCAGCCCCTCAAAGAAATACCAAAACCTGACCTACCACACTTGCTGCATTCAGGTACACAAAGAGACCCATATGGCTAGAAGAGTTTGGTCATAAGCTGCAATGTTTAATCATCAAAGCCTATTTGATCATTTGAGAAATGGACAAATTGGAGCAAGTTCCACACTTCATATATACGTTATGAACGTAATTAAGGGAGAAATTAAGAACGTCATTTACCACATACATTAGAAGTTGTACCAAAAAGGACATGAAACAACATATCAGGAGAGCTTCAAGATGATCTTCAGAAGAAACCTAAAACCCCTGCAATCCCTTCTATCTAATTACCTTGTATATGAAAATTTTGTCTCAGTTTATCTGAGCCACCTGTTTCTGAGAAAAAAGGTTTGGACAACACCGAAGCCAAGCAATAAGGCCCTCATCCCATCTCCTATTTGCCAGCCAACCTCATCCTACTTTCCTATGCTTCTCCCAAATGGGTGAAACAAATAGAACTGAAATAATATACAAGTATATCATCTTCAAACAAGACCAGCAATGTGACCAAAGAAATCTACCTACCCTGGAATCAAGACCTGGGTATGTATCTGGAGTCACCATTCCCCATTCTGGGGGTCAAGATGTATACTTACTACTTATTTATTATTCATAAAACCCTGTGCACCATGGACTTAAAAATGGCCAATGAACTCTACTAACATAAACAAAGAGCAAAAATTCTCAGGCCATTAGCATTACAACCAAAACCTATTCATGCAGAAATGTTCAATTTCAATGTGAGACCACAAAGTAAATCATGCATTTAGTCTTGATCTAATTAAAAATAAATAATAGTGTCACAATGAACACATTGTCTTACCATATTTTGCTTACCATGTGATGTGTCATCATTACATTGGTCAAGTTACAATGCAATAATGACATGTCACATTGTAAACCAATACAATAATGACACATCACATTGTAAACAAAATGTAACGAGATAATGTGACTATTGTAGCATTATTGTCAAATAAATGTAACTAAAGAACATGCACAATTAATTAAGACAAGTACTAGAGCCAATTAATCACAATTGCTTAATTAAAAGAAAAAATTGCTTAATTAAATTTGCAAACCAATAGTAGAAGGACAATTAGTGCAAACCAATTGCTTAATTAAAAGAAAAAATTTGCTACACATTACATGACCAAAGTTTGGCATACCATCCTCCTGTTGAGGTCTTCAAAAACAATAAATACATGAAGAATATTTCATTCAAGCACGCTCAACATGAATTCTGAGCAAACTACTTTGTATACAAATCAATTGATTACAACAAACAGGTAATTTGCATAAAAATTAAACAATCACAAAATTATGGACTCAAATGAAAAATAATCCATGGTCAAACACAGAAAAATAATTTCCCATCTAATCAAAATTAATACTGCCAAAAAAATAGCTTACAAAAACACTCACAAACAAGGATCCCAACAATTTATCCACAATGCCAAAGTCAATATTTGGTTTCACTCCTTCCAAAATTACTTGAGCTAAAGTCAAACATATCTAAACCTACAAACACTATTCAATCCCACTTGGTGCAATGCCACAAAGGTTTCTCCACCAGGTCCACACAAGATAGTGGAGATCCCTTCATGGCATAATTATTCAAGTGCCACATTGACGCAATATATAGTTTCTCCTGAACTTAACATTCGACGTGCACAAATTAGTTGTGAACTTTTATTTTTTAAACTAAATCTACAACCCTTATGTACACAATCATTCCCTCAAATTATGCAACACATCCATGTATTCATCATGATGGGCACAACAATTAAACAAAATTGCATTGTGACATGTTACTACCAATGAAAAGCTACAAAAAGGTGTAGCCAAAGACCTAAAATTAGTACACCACACCTATTTAAGACTTAATATCAAACTTAAGAGCAAAGCAATAGACAAAATCACCAAGGCAATAAATTGAGTGTTTTACTTTTCTCCAATATATCTATGCATGTATAGCAATTCAATAACACAATACCCATAAGCAAATAAAAAAAAATTAACAAATGCAACAATAAACAGCAATCAACTATAAAACTATCAATGACTACTGCTGGAAACAATGTAACAATATTTTTTCTCATTGTACCCAACACAAATCATGCTTATATACCAACACACAAAGCACTTGCTATAAAGAAAACAATTTTATACACCCACTGACAAGTTGGTGAACAAAATCCATACTAAGCAATGGACTCCAATGAAATATCCCATTAGGCAAGGAAAGGACATTTTATTCACCTACATATCAAGTAAATACACAAAATTGATATTCAATGTCAAGTGTTGTGCCAAGAATCATAAATGAGTGTGCACCACAACTACACACCCAACACAACAATACATCGACAAAAAAAAACAATTCCACTCTTTGTTTAATCTGTTGAAACAACTCTCTCTCTCTCTCAACTTCTTTAGACAAATATTAATATTAATACACAAATAAAACTACTCTAAAACCCTAGCCCTGAAAAAAAGAAGAAAGAAAATAAAGGCCTCAGAATTGCAGAATATCAACAAGGCTATTTTAAGCCAATCAGTCCCGAAAGATGGTGTTCTTGTTTTCTGATATCCTCACTGGCCAAAACCATATCAACAAAATCACAACACAACAGTACAGATCAAAATAAAAAAAACAATGATATACATACATATACTCAACACAAATATGTCTATATATAAAGTTGTGAATGTAATTCTCATGGCCATTTGCAAATAGTAATAGCAGAAACTCTGCTCCACAAGGTGATAGGATATGAGATTGCCTCCCATCGAACTCGGGAAACTCAACCTGTAAGAGGAGTCTTGACCGCCATCAACAGGAAGCTCAATCTGCAACAATGATCAGACTACACAAACACAGACACAGTTCACTCCATTTTCATCATAATTGTATTTAGGGCTGGTTTGACATACCCAACATAATCCAAAAAAGCCAAAAAATTATTAAAAAAAGTTAAAAAATTATTACCATTCACCAAAAATAAAAATAAAAAAATTAATTTTACACAAAAATTATTACAACTCAACTTGATGTCTCACAGATTTTTGTTAATTTTTTTTTGAAAAAATTGCACAAGCGGGGTGTACAATCAACACAGTGTTGTTCGGTCCATAGATACCCATCACAAGTCCCGTTTTGATAATATGAACCATTCAATATGTAAAATTCATTGAGTACTATAGGCTTGTAAAAAATCCCTTTAATCGAATATCATTAACTACATAATCAAATAAATTTTGTAAAAATAAAGATGGTGTTATAATTAACGATTGAAAAAAAATTAATCCGATTAGATAACTATCGATATCCAATCAGACCAATTCTATACATTGAATGGTTCCAATTAACAAAACAAGGCTCGTGGTTGCCCCCAAATAGCACCGTCTAATGTATTGTCCGAAAAGGAGAACCATTTCTTATATCAAATCACTCTACCCAGACGGTACGGACCGTACTACCTACTCTCCCTAATTTCTCCTATACACTAATTTATATAATTTTTTAATAAATATTTTTTTATAAAAAATTAAAAAATTAACCCAAACAATCATTTTTTTTCTCAACTTTTTAATTCAAAAAGACAAAAAAATACACTTATTTAAGACATTCCAAACAACTTCTTAAATTAGTATATAGGAAAAGTTATGAAGAGTAGGTCGTACGGCCCGTACCGTCTGAACGAAATGATTTAATATAAAAAATGAATTGTCTCCTTTCCAGGCATTGCATTGGACAGTGCTATTGGGCTCGTGAAGCCCACCACGAGCCTCGTTTTGCTAATCGAAACTGTTTAATTTATAAAATTTGTCAAGTACTATATACTTATAAAAAATTACGTTAATTAGATATCGATAACTATCTTATTGAATTAATTTTTTTTTTCAACTGTTAAGTATAACACCATCTATTTTTTTAATACAAAACTAATTTGATCATGTAATTAATGATATCCGATCAACGTAATTTTTTACAGCCATATATTACTTAACGAGTTTTACAAATTAAACTATTCAAATTATTAAAACGAAATATGATGAACCCCCACAGACCAAACAACACCTTATTGTTTGTGCACCCCATTTTTACAATTTTTTCAAAAAAATCAATAAAAATCTATGGAACGTCAGCCAAAATTGTAATAATTTTTGTGTAAAATTAATTTTTTTATTTCTTTCTTTAATAAATAGTGATAATTTTTTAACTTTTTTAAAAACTTTTTGATTTTTTAAATTATTTGAAATATGCCAAACCAATCCTTAAAATAATCTCCACCAAACACAACCTATGAGACTAAACTCATGAGTAGCCAATAAAAGAATATACCATGACTAACAAAAAAATCATTTTATTCATTCAAATGGGAAAACAAAACCTCTTTCTCAATTGGTCATTCCAAAACTATTTTTGGCAATGGACTCGAAAGGAATAACCTGTTAGGCAACAGATTTTTGCTCACATACCTATCAAGTGCATAAACAAAATTGAATTTTTTATCAAGTGAGGATCAAGACTGGCACATGAGTATGTATTTTACACTTTTATGAATACAAAAAGCTAGAGACTAAAAATAAATTATCAAATTTTCTATCAAATACTCCACAAACAATATAAATATTTGATAAAAAATTTGATAATTCATTTAAAATTCCTGGCCTCATAAAATGATGTAAAATTGTACAACTCCAAATTCACAACATCAAATCCAACCAATTTTTTTCTTACTAATATACATGAATGAATATGTACATATTACGCCAACTCTCTTTTAATTTACGTTGCAATAGAATATGCATTATATATTATTATTGATAAATGTTAATTTCTTTTGAATTGAAAATAAAGCATACAATCTAAATCTAAGATCTCATTTTGAAACATGCTATTTTAATAATTTTTTGACTTTTTAATTAACATATATGGTATAAAAAATTAATATATTTAGAATAATTTTTTAGTTTTTTCAAAAAAGATGTATAAAAAATTAAAAAAAAAGAGAATATAAAAGATAGAAAGAAAAGAGAATTTTTAACTTTTTAATATAAATTATAATTTTTTTGATTTTTCTAGTAATTTTTTAATTTTTAAAACGAGGCCTAATTCACAAGAACCTCCTAACAATTTCACAAGTCACCATTTTAATAACCTTGCATGGGATGTGAGAAAACCATCCCACCATTCCGGACACACCACATATGAAAATATGAGAATAATATGATGCAAAACAATTTAAATAACATTTACATAGTCACCACAAAAAGCAAATCATAACCATAAACCAGGCTCGTAAATTAGACTACACAACCAGACTCAACCAAACCATAAACCAGGCTCATAAATTAGACTACACAACCAGACACAAACATCAAACACCCAATGTTAACAAAACCAGACTCATACATCTTAAATTGTTACAAATCAGACTCATAAATCAAACTTCTATTTATACAATCAATGGTTCATTTATAATCAGTGCTATGACTGCAAAAGGCCAAACTTGGAACCACCAAGCCCTGGTTTGAGAACTTTAAAAAAAATCAAAAAAAATTAAAAAATTATCACTATTCACCAAAAAAAACATAGAAAAATTAATATACAAAATATTAAAATACAAATCAATTTCACATCACTCTAAGTACTAACGCCAAAACAAAGGCAATGAAAGAAAAAAAAATTTACATGTGTATATTCGCTAAATTGAAGGTAAAGTTGGACCCATAATGGCCCACCATGGATCCTGTTTTTATAATCCAAACTATATGCCTGTAAAAAATTACAGGCTATCGAATATCGCTAACTACATAATCAAACCAATTTCGTATAAAAAATAAATAATGTTATAATTAACAGTTGACAAAAAAAAACTAACACGATCAAATAGCTATCAATATCTCATTAATATAATTTTTTACAAACATATAGTACTCAACGAATTCTTCACATTGAATGGTTTCGATTAGAAAAATGAAACCCATGGTGAGCTTTCATGAACTGAACAACACCGCCGTTCAATTAAAACCCGAAAATGAAAAAATCTTTTCTCATCTCCTACCCAGCCGACTACACTGCCCAACTTGTACGGCTACTTCCCTAACTTCTCCTACACACTTAAAAAATACACTTATTTAAAACACCTCATACAACCCCTAAACACCCACATACAATGTTAATAACATCACAAATAAAACAATAAGTTGAAACACCCATGTTAACAAAATCATTTAATTCCACCTATCACAATAGAAGAGCAATTGAAACAAATCAAAGATGAAGAATCCACATCACAAAAGAATAAAGACTATCACAATGTTGCAATCACAAATGATTTGTAGCAAAAAGCTACAACACACAGAATACTGGCAGATTAGACATTTTATACTAAAATTCAATAATGAAAATCTTGTGTACATGAGATTGGTAAAACAAACCCAACTAAAGGCATCCACAATGGAATAGCCAAAATTATTTGTTAAAGTATGAGCTATATGACAAAAAATAATAAAATAAGGCCCAAAAATATTTATTAAGATGTGTTAAGAGTTTGTTAATTTTTTAGAATAAGTGGTGGTGCAATGAATGTATTAAGGCGTATGTTAAGATGTGTGTTAAATATATATATATATATATATATGTACATAATAAATAAAATAAATAAATAAATTAGTTTAATCAAAAATTTCAAATCCAAAATTAAATTTCAAGTCAAAAACAATCCCAACATGTTAAAAAAAAAAAATAAAATTCCGTTGACCAGGTCTATTGGCCGGACGTCCGTCCACTCAACCCAGAAGACAAACAAAACACTTCCAAACATTAACTAAAACGCTAGCCGCAGTTAACAAACTTTTTAACACACACAACTAGCACACACCACTAAAACACACTAACTGATCCACTGCAGCACCCAACAATACACAATACACTTTGCTAGCTAAAATTTACCAACTAACACTAAAACTCTCGTTAGCAGCTCTACTACAGATGCCCTAAAAGCATGTCGTGTAAAATCAACAGTCTTGTAAAAGTAATAATGTGCCGTTTCAAGATATTTTGAGAAAAAGTTAAGATAGAAAGACAAATGAAACATAAATCAGTCTTAAAGGCATCAGTTCTCCAAGGTGTTTAGCATCAATGTAATACTTCAGACACAAATTACCAATTTGTTAATGAGATTCATCCTCCGCCCAGCTAGTAACAAATAAAAAACACTGGACAAATTAACAGGTACATAAACAATAGAGAACACATTATTGTATTGTATAAATTAAAATTTTTGAGTTATGATTAAAAACAGAAAGAAATGACTAATGACACTCCTAAGTCCACAAGTCTCACACTATATGAGACTCACTAATTCATGGGTAATAAAAAAAAATTCAATAACATTTTTTAATGTACCAGCAGAATATACCACACACATCACTATTTTAAAATAATAATTTTATTAATTCACATTACAAGTGGATGAACAAAATCTCTTCCTCAATTGGCCATTCCAAAACTACTCGAAGCAATGGGCACAAAAGGAATAACCTGTTAGGCAAGAACAATTTTTGCTCACATACCTTTCAAGTAAATAAACAAAATTGAATTATTCATCAAGCAAGGTCAAGACTAGCAGATGAATATGAATTTTACACTTTCATGAATACGAAAATGCTGGAACCCCAAAACGGATAACCAAATATTCTACCCAATACTCATGTGTAGTGAGTAGCTATCACATGTGAGTATTTAATAAAACATTTAGTATTTCATATGGAATCTCTAGTTTCATGTGAACTTAAATTATTTAATTTCACCTAATATAATAGAATAAAGATGGAAGGATTCACATCACAAGAGAATAAAGACTTGTCACTTTATTCAATCCCAAATGATTTGTAGCAAAAGCCATAACCCAGAAAGAGAATATTGGCAGATTAGACATACAAAACTATGATAACGAATATTGGTAAAGCAAAACCAACTAAAACCAAATCCTGTGAAATAGTCAGGCTCTTTAAAAGAAATATGAGCCATTTCACAATATTATGAGAAGAAAGTTGAATAAAAATCAATTGAAGGCATCAGTTCTCCAAGGTGTTTAGCATCAATGTAATTTCAGACGCAAATTACCCATTTGTTAATGAGATTCATCCTATGCCTATTTCTGTGTTTGGTTGAGAAATTTAAAAAATAAAATAAAAATAATGGATAAATGAAATATAAATTTCATACTTTTTTTCATTTTTTTTTTTTCAAATCACTTCTCACATCTCAAACTACCAAACCAAACACAGCGTAAAAACCAAAAAACAATGACAAAAATATAACTAAAACATTCAAAAAAAGATTTAAAAAAAACACTTTGTACAATTAGAAGTGTTACTTGATAGAGCGATCAGAACCTGTCGGGATTCATTATTAACATCACAATAAATCAGTGGATTGACAGACCAATGAATTTCTATCGTCACCTCGCTCCATCATTCATACCATTTTCAAAACACTGCTTAAACAGTTTCAAAATATAACGAAGATCAAATTTGTACGCAATAAAAATTTAAACTTTTTTGCGATAATAACATAAAAATTTTGAATGAAATTTGAAAAATAAAAATAAATTAAAAAACAACTTAAAAAAGTTATTCCAAACTAGGATCGCAAACCACAGATTAAATTCTAATCAGACAAAGAAAAAAAAAGCCCAAATTTGCAAGTTGTTTTAGGGATAGAACAAAGGGGCTGTTTGGTTCAGCTTGTAAGCTAAAAGCTGATTTGAGCTTATTTAAGCTATTTTTGTATAAACAACGACAATAAACTATAATAATCAGCTTCTTTCAAAGCCAGAAAAACAAAATGCTCAGAACTTCTTAGAGGGTTGTGTTGCCGTCACAGACAAAATCTTGATAGATCTGTCTCTGGTACACGAAATCGAATCATCACAGCAATCGTATTTAGGAAAAACACATCGAGATTGAATATATATAAGAAATAAATCTATAGTCGAAAAAACAGATATGAGAATAGAGAGGCGCAGTAGAAGTGAGGTGTGAAGGTTGAAGAAGACTGCGAAGTATTTATAGGCAAACACGGTACGGAAAACCTAATCGCTATGGCTTCGTTTGGTTTATCACTTAGGCCTAACGTTTTTAATTTGAGCAAATTACATATACCTCCTTTAAGATTTAGCTAAATTATAAATATTCTTTTGAGGTTTTGAAAATTATATCTCGTCTCCTAAGGTTTGTATTTTCATAACAATTTATTCTTTAAAGTTTAAATTTCATAACAAATTACCTCATAATTTATTATGTAAATATAATATTCAAAAAAAAAATTATAATTTTTTAAACTTTAAAGAGTATTTATAATTTAACCAAATTTCGAAAAAGTGTGTTTTAATTTTTAGTTTACAAAAGTTAATAAAACTGGATTTTCATTTACTTTCATAAAAAGTTAAAATAAAAATTTTGTTTGATGTATAAAAATATTTTTAAAATAAATAAATATATTTAATGAGTTAATGGAGATAGAGAGTGGACAGATGTCATGATTGATAGTTGCCGATGATGGAAGGTGTCTGTCGAAATTAATGATTAAATATTATCAGAAGTCGCTAAATAATCGAAAAGATATCAAAAATTGGTTGATCATCACCATACTGATCGCCCTAGTGGTGATTGGTGGCGGGAGATAATGTGGCAATAGGTGGTGAATGAGAGGATAAAATAAATTTTTTATTTTAAAAATAAGTGAAAATGTAATTTTTTCACCGCTCATTTTTTTATATACAAAACTGATTTGATCACTTAGGTATCGATATCTGATCAATGTGATTTTTTATAATTATATAAATTTTTTTAAAAGAACACTAATTTTAGCTCTGCTCCTAGTGCAGGACATTCACCAATAGGGATGGTAATTTAAACCCAACCTGAAGGAGACCCGACCCCCCGTCCCCGATAAGAGTAATTTTTTTCCTGAAAAATACTCTCGACAGGGCGGGGATGGTATTTGAAATTGAATCCTCGATCAGTTTCGAGCCGGGGACAGGATAGCTTTCACAAGCCCGGACTCGGACCTGACCCGGCTTAGTCCCCGACCTCGTTTCTCCCAGAAATAAAATTACCATAATACCCTCCATTCATTCATATATATAAACCCCCCCTTTATTAATTCCCTTCTAATCTATCTCTCTATCACTCTTTCTCTTTCTCTCATCTCACTCTCCTTTATGATGTCTCTCATTCACTCTGCTCTCTGATTTGTCTCTCTCGCACTCTTTCTCTTCTCTCTGTCTCATCATTCTCTGATGGTGTAGTTGACGACGGCGTTGTTGTCTCATTCTCCGCAGTCGGCGATGGCTTCGTCGTCTCCTCCTCTGCAGTCGAATCGCCTCTCGCCACCTCCTCCTCCGTCGCCTCTTACCGCCTTACCGCCTCCTTCTCTCTCCACCACGGCAAATCTAAGCAGATCACGCCACCGCCGATTCCCTTTTTCTCATATCTTAGATCTCATGTATATGTGTATATGTGTGTGTGTGTGTGTGTGTGTGTCTCTATTATGTGTGTGTGTCTCTATCTGTCTATTTTTTTTTTGGTAGTGGATCTGTTGATGATTTTGTTGATGTCGATGTTAAAAACAAAACAATTGGAGATGATGATGATGATGATGTTGTTGTTGTTGATGTTGTTGTTGAAACAAATTTAGGCAAGGAAATTTTCAGAGTTAGGGAAACCCGATCCCCGTTGGGGGTGGGGGGGGAGTGATGGGTTCCCCGCCGGGGATCGGGGGCGGGGACAGGGAGTTTTGCAACTTCGGGGACAAAGAGAGTGATCATCGGCTCGACCCCGGCCCGTTGTCATTTCTACTCACCAACCCCTATTTGTATTACTTAATTTTTGAGTTAAAAATTTTGAAATTTTAAAGATTCTTTGTATAAAGATTCCGTCTATGGATGGCAATTTGAACCTGTCCCAACGGGGACCCGCTCCCCCGTCCACGATATAAGCGATTTTTTCCCAAAAAATATCACCAACAGACTAGGGATGGTATTTGAAATTGAAACCCCCATCAGTTTCAGGCCAGGAATAGGGATAACTTTCATAGCGCCGAACCCGACCTGGCCCCGTCCCCGTCCCCGTACTCGGCCCCGTTTTTCCCCCCGAAATAAAACTATTTTTTTACCCCTCTGTATGTATATGTGTGTCTGCGTCTCTCTTAATTTGTTGGCCTCATTTTAGGTTATAAACACACACAAACACACATCAGTCCCTCACAAACACTCTTCATAGCGCCGATCTCCACCGTTTCTCCGTGCTCCCCGTGTCTCTGCCGCCATCGCTCTTCCCTTTACTCTCTTTCACTCTATCTCTGATATCTCACCGATTTTAGTCAAAATCGTGCTTTGATCGCCATATTTCGCGATGAGAGAGAGCTTCTCGTCGTGAGAAAAATGGGGAGAAGGGGGAGAGAGAGAAGAGAGTTGCCATGGAGTGCTCTAATCGCCATTTCAGTCCCTCACAGTACTCCTCACAGTGCCAATCTACACCGCCGATCTCCTCTGTTGCCCTCATTCGCTTCTCTACCGACGCTTTCCATCTCTCTCCATTCCTCTCTCTTTCTCTGTGTGTTATATATATATATATTATAGATTTTAGCTCAAATATGTATGAGATCTATGATGATCTGTTGTTACTTTTAAAGGTTGTACATACACAATACATTATATATTTATATATATATATATATATACATATACGGTCTCTTCAAAACTATTCTGAAGGTTGTAGATTGTCTGCGTCTCTCTTAATTTGTTGGCCTCATTTTAGGTTATAACACACACACAAACACACATCAGTCCCTCACAAACACTCTTCACAGCCGCCAATCTCCACCGTTTCTCCGTGCTCCCCGTGTCTCCGCCGCCATCGCTCTTCCCTTTACTCTCTCTCACTCTATCTCTGATATCTCATCGATTTTAGTCAAAATCGTGCTTTGATCGCCATTTTTCGCGATGAGAGAGAGCTTCTCGTCGTGAGAAAAATGGGGAGAAGGGGGAGAGAGAGAAGAGAGTTGCCATGGAGTGCTCTGATCGCCATTTCAGTCTCTCACAGTACTCCTCACAGCGCCGATCTACACCGCCGATCTCCTCCGTTGCCCTCATCCGCTTCTCTACCGACACTTTCCATCTCTCTCCATTCCTCTCTCTTTCTCTGTGTGTTATATATATATATACATATACGGTCTCTTCAAAACTATTCTGAAGGTTGTAGATTTTTTTAATGTTGTTGTTAATTACTCGTTCTATAATTATTCTGAAGGTTGTAGATTTTTATTTTATTTTTTTGGCCTGGGATCCCCGTTAGGAGACGGAGACGGGGGCGAGGGCGGTGATAGGTTTTTCATGGGGGATCGAGGACGAGAAAAATTTGATCATCAAGGATCGGGGGACGGGGAGTGGAATTCCCGGTCCCGTCTCGTCCCGTTGCCATTCCTAATTTCGTCCTTTAAATTATTATTTTTTGTAATTATCACATTCTTAATATTAACTAAGGCCCACTATTTAACATTTGTTTTTTTATATGAAAAATGATTGGTCCCTTAGTTTTGTTCTCTCCCTAGTTCTACCATCAATAATATGGATTTTTTTTTCTTCCAAAGCCTCTTTTTGAAAAGATGGGTTGGTTGGGTTTTGAGTTATTTTAATCATAAGAAGGCAAAATAACTTTTAATCCAAATAAAAAAAATATCACATTCAATCCATAATCATTACATTTTTTATCTCATAAAAAGTTAATAAACTCTTTTCAAATAAGACTTTTTAACTCAATATTAAAATAGTCAAAAATAAAAAAAATAAAAAAAATAAAAAACTAACTCACTTCTCAAACAAACCCAAAATAGAGATGTTATATAATAGAACCAAAACAATCATCAAGACAAAAGCCTATCCTCAATAAGAGGCCTAAGTAACCATGACAGGGGAGCAGCTTTCCCAAAGCTTATACCCATCCCATTAACACCTTGCCTAGCCAGCACATGTGCCACACGATTACAATTTCGCTACACAAACGAGACCGACACAAGACCATTCGAGCTCATCAAGACTTTAATATTCAATCACAACAGCAGTGTGATAAGCCATCACTCAACTGTTATTAATCATATCAATAATAGTTTGACAATCTCCTTCAATCACCGCAGCTGGACATCCTAACTCCAACAACATTCGAAGACCTTCTCTAATGGCAATAGCTTCAAATACATCAACATGACGAATGTGAGACAAATGCTTAGCCTTCGCGCGAATGAATCGCCCAACTGAGTCTCGAACTACAAGGCCTACACCACCTACTTGATCTTTAGGGAAAAAATACACCATCCACATTAATTTTTATGTACCCAGTTGCCGGTTTGCAACCCCCACCACCCGCTACATGCCCTCCACAGAGTGCACTAAATTGCTTTGTTCTATAGCAGCCTCCAAGCACTCAAAAGCATTAAAAAAACTGGTGCATTATCAATGCCTCGCTTCCACACTTCATACAACTCGAGCAAAGTTCCTTCACAAGGAGTACCATCGTGACTTTTCCACGAATGTCAAAGAATGGATCTAAAGATGAGAGAGAGAAAAGTATAAGACCGTTTTACATCCATCTTAGACATGTTATTAGGAGTGAAATTAGAGGGTCTTAATTAAGGGATAACATATCAGGTTATTAGAACAATTACTAACAAAATTCTTTATTTTTATACAACATTTAAATTTGTTGACGTGGCCTAAAATTGTAATATTGGCCCAATTTAGTACAAATTATAAACTAAAAGTTCAATATATTTAAATGATTTCTGCTACCAAAGATTCTGATGTAGATTCATAAATTAAAATAAGTTATGAACAAGTGATTTAAGTTATAATCAGAGCATTTAGCCTAATTTATTTCCTTTTTATTATGGGAGTTTATGTTATTATTAATGGTTGTTGGGCTTTGTAAATTAATTGTTAAATTTTGTTGACTTTCTAACTGCTGTGGACTAGTAGTATGTTTACTAATATAAATATTTCTTATAATGCAATTATTTTTCTATCTATTGACGAAAAATAAAAAAAATAAAAAAATTGATTTAAGTTGTACTACCAAACCCCCCATTGAGAGTCAGGCATGCAAAGGAATTATTAGGCCTGAACCGGCCCCAGCTGAGAAGTTTGGGCATGAAATTTAACACAGGCCCAGTACAGATCCAGCCAACATGGTATCCAACCTAGCCGCTCATTTTTAAAACAATTCATTGGTTAAATCGTTTTTATTTTATTAAGACATTGGAGTGTGACTCAGTGGTCTAATAGACTTTAAGGTGTAATGACGGAGAGGCAAAGGGTTCAAGTTGATGTTGCAATGACGATCTTTCCGTTGTAATTTAATTATACTAACATACTAATCCTATCTTAAAAGAAAAAAAAAAAAAATCAATTTTATTTTATTAAACAAAACATTATTTGATATATATTTTTTGTTTACAAAAATAGAGTTTTTTTTTTTTGACCAGTAAAAAGAAGGATGCTCATCATAATTTTTCAAAATTAAAATTTTTTTCTGCTTGTTTTCAGATTTAGATGAACATAATTAAAATAAAATTAAAAAAGGACCTAGCCATACTATAAAATAGGAACATGCATAAATTTATCATTTCAATAATGGTTTACAGAAATCATAGAAGAGATCTTTCCAATACAATCTACTAATGGGTTTTTAGTCAGAAATCAAAATACCTAATCTGATGAAATCAAGAAGCTCCATGTCAATACTCTAAACAGCAAAAGAGGATAAGGAATACGATTGGTTGCGCTTCTCTCCAATACATACCAGTTCAATTTGAGTGCATGAGCCCAACATGGATCATATTTCATTTCGATGATTTGATCATTTCATCTTATATAGACGCCCCTCTGAGTAAATTATTCACGAAAAAATAAGATTGATTCAATAATCATAATCACATGATTTTGTCAATTATGATGAAATCACGTAATTATGATTATCATTTTTTACAATGGCCTAAAAAATGAATAGATCAGATTATCAAAGTGAAGCCCATGGCATCTGCTCCGGAGAGAAACCTCTCCCAAAAAAGAAAACACCAGCTCTGTTGGCTTGAAGGCTGATAAACTGGAGGCAAGGTGCTCTAACCTTTTTTAGCAAGGCAAAGGATGGACAGGGTGGAAAGGGAAGGGGTCAACGAAGAGGGAGAGGAAAAGGAAAGGAAAAGAAAAAGGAAAGGGTATATAAGGAAACAAATCTGATGGAATGAGAGAGGGGAGACAAGAACCTTCCCACCCGCTAGCACATAAGGTGGGAGATGCTATCGGTCAATACAAGAATCCACGTTACTGAAAAATGCTACTCACTGAACAATCATCATGAACACGCCAAATGGTTTCTCCCAGTAGGTTGGCAACTGAAAGAACCGTCAACTGTGGGAAGTTTTTCTTCTCCATCATTGGTATTGTGTTTGTAATGATGACTTCTTGAAACAGCCCGCTGGACAACCTTTCGACTGCAGGAGGGCTGTAAAGAAAAAGACATGAAAGAAGATCACACACTAGTATTTCATATGTAAATACAAATTGCATAACGGTCACCTTTTCTTTTCAATGAATATTGACAACAAAGTGTTGTAGATCATGGAATGACAAATTATTAGGGACTTGATAGTATACATTATGATGCAAAACAAGAAACCTAAATTCTTTGGAGGGAAGCTAATCATTGTGCAGACGTGCTAGCCAAAGCAGCTATATGTATGGATGTTAGGGATGAAACTGTGTTGACAGCCCCTCCTTCTCTGTAGTTGGCCCTAGCTAATGACAAGCAAGGAGGGAGTTTCCCTCGTAGTGTCAGTTTGTAGGTTTGGCTTCGACCCCCTTGTAATCAAAAAAAGTAAAAGAAACCTAACTCGTTTACTTAGGCAGTGTTTGGTTTCGGATTTGAGTAGGGATTTAAAAAGGGAAAATGAAAGGGAAAAGATAGGCGAAATGTGAATGAAATATAGTTACATTTCACATACTTTTTTCTTTTTCCTTTCCAAATTGCTACCCAAATCTATGATCCAAGCACAGCCTTAAGAGATCCCTAATAAGACATTGACCTAGATGATATAAATAGTTCCCCATCTATGTACCATTCACTAAAACCAGAAACTTCTTAATAAGTAGAAAAATTATATAAAAATAAAATAAAAATCCTGGCATCCTGCCCCCATTCACATGAAAATCAGGAAATGGCACCTCAAAAGTCACAACCCAACATCCTCTTAATTTCCCCTTTCTCCAAAGTAATGAAGAAACGGAACTTTGATCAAAATGTGTAATGATCAAATTTGGAAAAACACAGAAATTTTTGGGCATGCATTTAGAGAGATCAAAGCAAAGATCAAACACCATAGATGAAGCCATTACCTAAAAACAGCATGAGTACTGCAAGCATAGACTTCCCTGGCCCCCTCCTCATGTAACAGAGCTGCACCTTTTGCAATGGTACCTACAACCCAGCAGCCATGTACTAGTTAACTACAATAAGTCGAAGACTGTATTTACAATCTAAAAACAAAAACACCTTTGTGCTTTTTTTCAAACCTCCTGAGGAAGCAAAATACCACTCAGTTATTTATTGGAAACAACAAAATAAAGAAAGTACTTCACATTGCCTAGACTGTAAGCTCAAGTCCAATCCGAAGGAAGTGGAGAGCAAGATGCATAACAACTAGCTGTATTTACAATCTAAAAAAAAAAACACCTTTGTGCTTTTTTTCAAACCTCCTGAGGAAGCAAAATAACACTCGGTTATTTATTGGAAACAACAAAATATAGAAAGTACTTCACATTGCCTAGACTGTAAGCTCAAGTCCAATCCGAAGGACATAATCATATTTGAGACCCAAAATTTAAAGCAAAGTGGAGAGCAAGATGCATAACAACTAGACATGATAACAAACGATCATGCCCTTACAAAAAGTTGTTTTCATAATATATGTGATATTCTTATGGCTGTATATATACAAACGTATTACACTAAACCAAAGATAGGTTGTTCTTAAAAATAAAATAAAATAAGATATGAATAAAAAAACGTGAGAGAGGGAACCAAGGATGGACAATTAGTATTAACCAGGCTTAAATGCAAATGTAGTCTAGAAATTTTGGAGCATATAGTGGTAGGATATTTGCTCATGATGGATAACACTTGGAAATTGAAATTAATAACTCGCCATGAAAATAGCATGATAAACTAAGTTTCTTTTTCTTTGAATTTTCACTTTTTGAAATCACTTCCTAATTAACGGCCTATAAGCTGGATTTTTTACATCTAGATGACTTAACTCACCAGCAGTGTCAATCATATCATCCACCATAACTGCAACTTTTCCTTTAACATCACCAATGAGATTCATCACCTGAACAATAGCATTTAAAATAATGGACATTAAGAAAATTTCATGAAAAAGAATAACAAACAATGAGCTGCAACAATTCTTTCCATTGATATCACAACTCTTAACTGTAATAATCGATCAAATCCCTGCACTTTAAAAAGGACAAAGCACAACTGTTCAATCAAATCATGGTCTATCTTACAACAGGATCATTATGGTTTTGACAAAAAAAAAATAGTCCAACATCAATGATGTAACACATTAGCAAGTGATTGTACTAAAATAATAATCAGTTTACATAGCATAAAATGCTTTCCAACACAAATGATCGTACATAATTCCAATTTCCTGTTAACTAGTATAAAACATTTTGAAGTACAAAACCCAGCTAAAAAATGTTTGAGTTTAACAGGACATTGAGCTTCTTTCAATGGTTCCTGACATCAGCCAGCTCCAAAGCCCCAGTTTCAAGCATACTGTTCAGGGTAAAGAACTGCAGAAGGCTGACATAAACACTCCTAAGATGGCTCACAATTAGACAACTCATATTTTTCTTGCATACGGATTACATCTCATAGATAGATAGATATACCTTTAGTATCTAATATCTAATATCATGCCTGCACCTGTGTAATGTGTACTTATATATACTAGAGGGCATTGGAAGACCCTCTCTATGATCTATCTAGCAACAATATCTAAGGATACCTTGAAACAAATCCCAAACAAAATTATTTAATGGAATACAATTATATAAGATGTTTGTCATTCTATGTTAAAATTTAAAATCACAATGGATTAAACTTATCAACTATTCAACATAGTCAGCTACACTCTGCTTGAAATTTTAAGTGGTAGCTAATGTACATTACCAAATGCGGTTATGAATATATCACTAAAATCTCAGTTAAAACCACTTAATGGGTTTACAAAAAGAACCATACACAAATACAAAGGAAAATGTTCTTCCATTATATTAAAATGCTACACTTAAAATTTGTACAAAAACTCTATTTACAACCTGATGTGACACCCACATCAACCTGTGTTTTAAAAAGAAGGTAGTTACTGACATGCCAGATCATTTTGCAAGTTTTCTTCGTACGTATAGCATTACATGCACTTTTTACAGCTCATGGTCAAAGTAGGAAATAGAATAAGTTTACAATTAATAATTTATACCAACAGGAAGAAGCCAAATGTGTAGTGTCACAAGCAAAGATAAATGAATTTCAATATAACGGTTCAAATAAATAAAACCACTTTCCTCTTTGTCATTTGACACACTACTATTAGACCTTGAATCAACATCAAGCCAATCCTCAAGAAGTATAGAATCTACTATGGTAAACAACAGAAAATGGAGACACAGATCATTAAGATAAAAGGTACACTCATTAAGATAAAAGGTACTATATGTAATACCTTGCTCAGAAGATATGCTATCCAAGTTAACACAGAACCAGTGGTCTCATGCCCAGAAACTAACATTGACAAAAGGTCATCTTGTAATTGTATGCTTGATACCTGCAACACAGTGGCACAAATGTAGAAACAAAGAGCAAAACCTTGCATGTCAATTTAAATGTGAAAAAGCCCATTAAACTGAAAAATGAGGGCACACTAAAATCAAATGCTTGACTTCATTCCATTTCATTTTTGTCTACTTTGGGGTGTCAAATCTGGGATCAAACAGAAATTTGGGTTTGCTAGCATTGCACAGACCTTGTTTTCATAGTGTTGTGGCTACAAACATAAGCGCTCAGTTATGCTAGAATCTAAAGCACAAGAAAATTTTTGCAGTAGTCTTAATTTTAATGAAAAAGAAAATAAATACAGGCCTAGAGAGCAGATTATCTGTGCAACTCCACAAGCATAGGAGACCAACTACTTTCAGCTTGTCATTAGAATGAAGGAAAAATCCATATGCTACATAAAGCCCTAAAACAATTTGACTATATGCTCATTCACACTGAAATAAACTAAATGTATTCTTTCACCCCTTGATTTTAATTTTAAAGAGAAAAAATAAAAAGGAAGAGATCACCAAACAGAAGAAGGGGAAAAGGTAACAACAGCACCTTATGATTTCAGGTAAGCTAAACATTGACATAGTGGGGGGGAAAATGTAACTAAGATTTCAGGTGAGCTACACAGTGACATAATGGGGGGGAAAAAACGAAGAAACCAAACATTTATATATATATATATACACACACACACAACACAAATAAGCAATAGATCTCAATAACCAAATCAAGAGAGATGGGAAGGAAGAGCTTGAGAGAGAGAGAGAAATCAATACCTCGCGGTGAAGCTTCGAAATCGAGAGAGAGAACTTCAAATCGAAATCGCTCTGAGATGAATTTCAAAATCGCAATCGCTCTGAGACCGATCTGAGAAATCTAAGCACAGCCTCTCCTGAGATCACTTCCTCTGCGATCGAAACCAACGAAGCCATTTTTCTGGGCTACAAAGTGTTCCACAGTTTCTCTCTCCGAAGAGGCAGAGTTTTTCAGAGAAGGGTTGGTTTCAGAGGTTTTAGAATGGTATGCCTCAGCCTCAGCCTTCGTCTTGGTTAAATAGCCGAGGCAGAGCCACGCGTATCGCGCGCCACTCGCCGCCAGACGACAAACGGGCACGCCAACCAAGGCACTCACGTGCCTCGCCATCATGTCCGGCACACCTTTTGATGAATTGGGCATGCCTTTTGATGGCACGCCTTTTGACAAATTTGGGCACACCTTTTGAGGGTGCAACTTTTTCAACGGTCCGATATGACCCCATAAACTGTCCCGACATTGATTCCGGTTAGCCTCTCCATGGGTCCGACAAGACTCTGTAAACTGTCCCGACATTGATTCCGGTTAGCTCCTTTATGGGTCCGACAAGACTCTGTAAACTGTCCCGACATTGATTCCGGCTAGTTTCTACAAGGGTCCGACAAGACTCTGTAAACTGTCCCGACATAGATTCCGGTTAGTTTCTACAAGGGTCCAGCAAAGCTATCTCCCCAGCGAAATCCAAAAAAAAAGACACCACACACGACCTCATCTCCCTCTCAGCACTCGTTGCAATCAACAAGAGCACCACCGCGAAGCTCTCCTCCACCGCCTCCAATCTCTGTCGCAGCACCACCGGCTCCATGACCCCATAAACTGTCCTCTACACCGTTATGACATCACCATACAGTGTCCTCTACAACGTTATGACACCACCATCCAGTGTCTTCACCAATGGTCTGACACGACCATACAGTGTCTCTTATCCTCTTTTATTTTTATGTATTTTCTTGTTTTGGTTACTCTCTCCAAACTCAAGTTGGCTAGTTCCTATCCCCCTTGAGTTTGCGGGGGGCTGTTAGAATTTACCATCACCTACCACCACTACCACCTCACCTACTACACCACTACCACCTCACCTACTCCACTAAACCTAACCCACTACACCACTATCACTATCCACTACACACCATCCACTACACCTACATCTATATAAGGAACCATTTGTAATAGACATTAATGAATCAATATCAATCAATAATACTTGAATTTTAACATCATATTTTTCTTGCATACGGATTACATCTCATAGATAGATAGATATACCTTTAGTATCTAATATCTAATATCATGCCTGCACCTGTGTAATGTGTACTTATATATATTCTAGAGGGCATTGGAAGACTCTATGATCTATCTAGCAACAATATCTAAGGATACCTTGAAACAAATCCCAAACAAAATTATTTAATGGAATACAATTATATAAGTAAGCAAGTCACCCAAACCCTTAAAAAAGGATCCTAGAGAAAGCAAGACACAGAAAAAAATCATTGTAAAATCTAGCAACTTACCTCAGCAAGATTGTGCCCATACCGTCTTTTATCCACAATGGCTAAAGGCGCATCAGATAATTTTTTTGCAAAAGCACGTGCTCTAGCCACCCCTCCAACATCAGGTGAGACCACGACCATATCATTAGAGCAAATCGTCTTGCTAGCAAGATAGTCAAGAATCACAGGCTAGTGCATGCAAAAGAAAAAATAATTAGAGACTAAATAAACAAACAATAATGTAATAATCAATGAATGTAAAATTGATTAAAGCAAATGATGCAGAGTTATGGACTCATTACCTGACAGTGCACATGATCCACTGGAATATCAAAGTAACCAATGGACTGCCCGGAATGCAGATCACAAGCAAGAACACGATCTGCACCTGCTTCTGTGATTAGGTTTGCCACAAGTTTTGCAGCGATGGATTCACGCCCTTGTGTCTGAATACAAAAGTATAAATGAAAAATATGAATTCATGGACACTCCCAGCAGTCTACACAAAATATATGATGATTGCCAACTCAAAATATACGATGACTGCATACTCAAAACATATGTGGTCTTTTTTTTTTTTTTTTTTGTTAGTTAGGTTCGGGGGAGGGGAAGGGAGAAGGGGAAGAGTGGTTGAACAATTGCTCATCATGGTTAGTGTCATGCCTTGCACTAGGAGATCACCTAGCAAGGCTCATCAGAACATAAAATACCCATGACATACATGTCTGCCAGATACCCAATGTTTGTATTCTGTCATTTCAGCTATGCTCAGACCACAAATCTATTACAAAAATAAAAATAAAAATCATCTAATTTATCAAAAAATAACATAAAAATCATCTAATCTGCACCTTAAATTGAACTTGCCTTTCTATCAGCTCTGGCATATCCAAAATATGGAATCACAGCAGTTATATTTTTAGCTGATGCCCTTCGACAAGCATCTATCATTATTAAAAGCTCCATGAGATTTTCATTTGCTGGAGGGCAGGTGGGCTGCACCAAGTACACATCACATCCTCTAACACTTTCTTGCAATTGAACATAAACCTCGCCATCAGCAAACCGCTTTATTTTGATTTTTCCCAGATCAAGGCCCATGTACCAAGCAATTTCCTATGCATTAAAATGACAATAAGTTAATCAAAGGAAAAATTAGGAGGTTCAGAAAATTGAAGAAAATTTGCAGCTCAAAATAACAAATTCATACTACATCACAACCATTAGCATCATGAAATAGAGACAACCAAACACTCTGCATTTTTTTCTTCCAACCACAACTTTAAAAAGGATGAAAATAATTGAAATAAGGATAATGACGATGTCATACACAAGGATATGAAACCAGTATCATCAAAAGTTAATGATGATCAAAAGAAAATTTCATTTCATCAAAGTCCCTATAAAGAATCAACAACAATCCTACTTTCAAGAACTTCAAAGATTTATGCAGTTTCAAAGGCGCAACCAAGTGCCATTAAAGTACTTGATTGACATTATTAAATGGAAAAAGCCCAATGGATGACTTCAATGTTCCTCCTAAAATACCAAACTCCTAAAACTATAAGTGGCAGCAAAGAAACACACAAAACAAAACAAGATAAAATAAGAGAATTAAACAAGCAAAACAGTAGACAATCCCAGTTAGAAACTTTTCATCAATTTTTAACAATCAAAGAGTACCTAGATGGAGTTAAATTTAGTACTTTTTTTCCCTCACAAAAACATCAGTTAGGAACCCCCTTGCATCTAAGACATTGGTCTCAAGCTCCATATAAAATGCTTTGCTCCATATAAGGGTTTATAGAATTTAGGATTAACACTGTCCAGCTCTGATCTTTGGTGCTTTTTAAATTGATTCGGGTAAGGTTCATGGGAAATGCAAATGTCATGCATTGCACTCAAATCTTTAGGTTGCTTTATTTCTTACTACAGTACCCGATATAGCTGAATGGTTAAAATGGTTTCATGTAATCAACCTCATAGCGCCTGGGATTCAAGGCTTACTGAAGCTGACTAAAAGACCAGACACTGCACAAGAAGTAATATTTGAATCTTCTGCAGTGCCAAATCCTTTTAACACAATATCCGCAAAGACAGCTATGATTGTGTCAATTTTGGAATCCAAAACACCCAATGTTGAAATGATATTAAGTGAACTAGGAGAAAAAAAAGAAGAAATCTTTTTACCTGAGAAAGAGAAGGATTTGCTGTGCCAGAGAAAATTTTCAACCGGGTATTGTTTCTATTAAATGCACTCTCCAGACGCTTGGATGCCAAGAACTTGGGTGGAGCTCCATCAACAAGTATCGGAATACATGGCTTTCCATTCAATGGTTCACCGAGATCACATTTCTAAATATCAAAAATACCCATATCAACAATTTATGAAGATTAACCAACTTATATACCCAAAAATAAATAAATAACTTTATCCTGTAGTTCCTTTAAAATATAGTAGGGATTTAAAATATAAACTCATCCACACATGCAAAACAATTATTACATAATTTGACCGAACCAAAACATTTGTTCCGATAAAAACATTCTCCCCATGCTTCTTGCGTAGATTTAAACAGATTGAACTCATTTTAGAGCTCAAATGAAATCAAAAACAAAAATTCAAAAACAAACTATGGTTGGTTGCTGAGAAAATGAAAGAAACAAAATACAGTATAATTTTTTTAGTTTTCTACGCCTCCTTGTTTGGCACTGGCTCCTTAAGCATATGCAAGCCACTTCGACCAACGAATTACGAACCAATGATGCAATCAAAGCAGCGTAATAAAATAAATGCGCAAAAATTTTCTCGCTCCTTTTTCCTTCACTTTCTCAGCAGCCAAGCGAATGTCACGAAATATTCGGGAAAAAAAAAGAAAAAAACTTACGACGCTGTTTATTCGAGGACGAGATTCATTGAGAAGGAAGCTCCGGTGGTTGAACGAGCAACGAGAGAACAAAGAAGAAGATGAGGATGTTGAAGAAGACGAAGGCGATGGCAGAAACAGAGAAGCCATATATATAGATATAGATGGGTATGTACGTATATCTGTGAGATAAGGGGCTAGGGTTTGTTGAGAGAGAGAGAGAGAGCTTGGATGGAGTGGAGCTTCTCTTCTTTAATTTTTGGTTTTTATGGCGCCTCGCGTCTCTTTTTTAACGCGGATTTCGTTTTCGTGGGCGCAGAGCTCTCCGCATAGTTGGCAACTTGGCAGCCGTGCAACGACGTCGTTTGTAGTCTGCAAAACTATGCTGCATTTTTCTTGTGTTTTTTTGCAGTGTGTGCCGACTGATTTTTTTTTATTTTTAAAAATAAATTATGGGTTGTTTTAAACAAGTGGGCGCGTGAGGGCGCGTCCGGCCTCCGTTGGGTGTCTGCTTTATATTTCTGGACTCCTCTCGTCGATCCCTTGCTCCTGGTATGCTCAAAACCTGATTTCGAGCAACTTGATTTCTGGGCAGTTTCAAACAACACGCTGTTTTTGTTCCAAAACGCCACCAACGAGGCTCTGATACCAATTGTTGGGATCTGTGATCCCGCCCAAGACCTTATAGAAATTATTCCATGCAGAAAAACACACCCACACTCAAGGAGACACAATATTTAACGTGGTTCGGCCTCAATGCCTACGTCCACGGGAGAGTAGCCGGTTATCACTATAACAATGGAAATATTACAGAAAGATTACAATAGAGGAGGAGCTCACACTCTCCTCACTCACCCACTCACCCGTCTCCGTCGCTCACACCGAGGGAGACGGTCCCTCCGCCTCACATATCTCACTCTCTGTGGCTTGCTCTGCTCTCTCTCAAACCCTCCCCTTAGCCTACATTTATACTCAATCAGAATGGAGATGGAGAGGCTGGTCTTGCATATGGCCAGCTATCTTGTGTGCTGGCTTCACATGGCCAGCTCATGTGTGTTGGCTTCCTAACATGGCCAACCTTGCAACACATGGAGGATCACCCCTCACATGGGGTGATGATATCCCACAATTAGAACAATTACTAACAAAATTCTTTATTTTTATATAATATTTAAATTTGTTGACGTGGCCTAAAATTGTAATATTGGTCCAATTTAGGACAAATTATAAACTAAAAGTTCAATATATTTAAATGATTTCTGCTACCAAACATTCTGATGTAGATTCATAAATTAAAATAAGTTATGAACAAGTGATTTAAGTTATAATCAGAGCATTTAGCCTAATTTATTTCCTTTTTATTATGGAAGTTTATGTTATTATTAATGGTTGTTGGGCTTTGTAAATTAATTGTTAAATTTTGTTGACTTTCTAACTGCCGTGGACTAGTAGTATGCTTACTAATATAAATATTTCTTATAATATAATTATTTTTCTATCTATTGACGAAGAATAAAAAAAATAAAAAAATTGATTTAAGTTGTACCAAACCCCCCATTGAGAGTCAGGCATGCAAAGGAATTATTAGGCCTGAACCGGCCCCAGCTGAGAAGTTTGGGCATGAAATTTTAACACAGGCCCAGTACAGATCCAGCCAACATGGTATCCAACCTAGCCGCTCATTTTTAAAACAATTCATTGGTTAAATCGCTTTTATTTTACTAAGACATTGGAGTGTGACTCAATGGTCTAATAGACTTTAAGGTGTAATGACCGAGAGGCAAAGGGTTCAAGTTGATGTTGCAATGGCAATCTTTCAGTTGTAATTTAATTATATTAACATACTAATCCTATCTTAAAAGAAAAAAAAAATCAATTTTATTTTATTAAACAAAACATTATTTGATATATATTTTTTGTTTACAAAAATAGAGTTTTTTTTTTTTTTGACCAGTAAAAAAAAGAATGCTCTAAGATATCATCATAATTTTTCAAAATTAAAATTTTTTTCTGCTTGTTTTCAGATTTAGATGAACATAATTAAGATAAAATTAAAAAAGGACCTAGCCATACTATAAAATAGGAACATGCATAAATTTATCATTTCAATAATGGTTTACAGAAATCATAGAAGTGATCTTTCCAATACAATCTACTAATGGGTTTTTAGTCAGAAATCAAAATACCTAATCTGATGAAATCAAGAAGCTCCATGTCAATACTCTAAACAGCAAAAGAGGATAAGGAATAAGAATGGTTGCGCTTCTCTCCAATACATACCAGTTCAATTTGAGCGCATGAGCCCAACATGGATCATATTTCATTTCGATGATTTGATCATTTCATCTTATACAGACGCCCCTCTGAGTAAATTATTCACGAAAAAATAAGATTGATTCAATAATCATAATCACGTGATTTTGTCAATTATGATGAAATCACGTAATTATGATTATCATTTTTTATAATGGCCTAAAAAATGAATAGATCAGATTATCAAAGTGAAGCCCATGGCATCTGCTCAGGAGAGAAACCTCTCCCAAAAAAGAAAACACCAGCTCTGTTGGCTTGAAGGCTGATAAACTGGAGGCAAGGTGCTCTAACCTTTTTTAGCAAGGCAAAGGATGGACAGGGTGGAAAGGGAAGGGGTCAACGAAGAGGGAGAGGAAAAGGAAAGGAAAAGAAAAAGGAAAGGGTATATAAGGAAACAAATCTGATGGAATGAGAGAGGGGAGACAAGAACCTTCCCACCCGCTAGCACATAAGGTGGGAGATGCTATCGGTCAATACAAGAATCCACGTTACTGAAAAATGCTACTCACTGAACAATCATCATGAACACGCCAAATGGTTTCTCCCAGTAGGTTGGCAACTGAAAGAACCGTCAACTGTGGGAAGTTTTTCTTCTCCATCATTGGTATTGTGTTTGTAATGATGACTTCTTGAAACAGCCCGCTGGACAACCTTTCGACTGCAGGAGGGCTGTAAAGAAAAAGACATGAAAGAAGATCACACACTAGTATTTCATATGTAAATACAAATTGCATAACGGTCACCTTTTCTTTTCAATGAATATTGACAACAAAGTGTTGTAGATCATGGAATGACAAATTATTAGGGACTTGATAGTATACATTATGATGCAAAACAAGAAACCTAAATTCTTTGGAGGGAAGCTAATCGTTGTGCAGACGAGCTAGCCAAAGCAGCTATATGTATGGATGTTAGGGATGAAACTGTGTTGACAGCCCCTCCTTCTCTGGAGTTGGCCCTAGCTAATGACAAGCAAGGAGGGAGTTTCCCTCGTAGTGTCAGTTTGTAGGTTTGGCTTCGGCCCCCTTGTAATCAAAAAAAGAAAAAGAAACCTAACTTGTTTTACTTAGGCAGTGTTTGGTTTACGGATTTGAGTAGGGATTTAAAAAGAGAAAAGTAAAAGATAGGTGAAATGTGAATGAAATATAGTTACATTTCACATACTTTTTTCTTTTCCCTTTCCAAATTGCTACCCAAATCTATGATCCAAGCACAGCCTTAAGAGATCCCTAATAAGACATTGAACTAGATGATATAGATAGTTCCCCATCTATGTACCATTCACTAAAACCAGAAACTTCTTAATAAGTAGAAAAATTATATAAAAATAAAATAAAAATCCTGGCATCCTGCCCCCATTCACATGAAAATCAGGAAATGGCACCTCAAAAGTCACAACCCAACATCCTCTTAATTTCCCCTTTCTCCAAAGTAATGAAGAAACGGAACTTTGATCAAAATGTGTAATGATCAAATTTGGAAAAACACAGAAATTTTTGGGCATGCATTTAGAGAGATCAAAGCAAAGATCAAACACCATAGATGAAGCCATTACCTAAAAACAGCATGAGTGCTGCAAGCATAGACTTCCCTGGCCCCCTCCTCATGTAACAGAGCTGCACCTTTTGCAATAGTACCTACAACCCAGCAGCCATGTACTAGTTAACTACAATAAGTCGAAGACTGTATTTACAATCTAAAAAAAAAAACACCTTTGTGCTTTTTTTCAAACCTCCTGAGGAAGCAAAATAACACTCGGTTATTTATTGGAAACAACAAAATATAGAAAGTACTTCACATTGCCTAGACTGTAAGCTCAAGTCCAATCCGAAGGACATGATCATATTTGAGACCCAAAATTTAAAGCAAAGTGGAGAGCAAGATGCATAACAACTAGACATGATAACAAACGATCATGCCCTTACAAAAAGTTGTTTTCATAATATATGTGATATTCTTATGGCTGTATATATACAAACATATTACACTAAACCAAAGATAGGTTGTTCTTAAAAATAAAATAAAATAAAATAAAATAAGATATGAATAAAAAAACGTGAGAGAGGGAACCAAGGATGGACAATTAGTATTAACCAGCCTTAAATGCAAATGTAGTCTAGAAATTTTGGAGCATAAAGTGGTAGGATATTTGCTCATGATGGATAACACTTGGAAATTGAAATTAATAACTCGCCATGAAAATTGCATGATAAACTAAGTTTCTTTTTCTTTGAATTTTCACTTTTTGAAATCACTTCCTAATTAATGGCCTATAAGCTGGGATTTTTTACATCTAGATGACTTAACTCACCAGCAGTGTCAATCATGTCATCCACCATTACTGCAACTTTTCCTTTAACATCACCAATGAGATTCATCACCTGAACAATAGCATTTAAAATAATGGACATTAAGAAAATTTCATGAAAAAGAATAACAAACAATGAGCTGCAACAATTCTTTCCATTGATATCACAACACAACTGTAAATAATCGATCAAATCCCTGCACTTTAAAAAGGAGAAAGCACAACTGTTCAATCAAATCATGGTCTATCTTACAACAGGATCATTATGGTTTTGATTTGACAAAAAAAATAGTCCAACATCAATGATGTAACTCATTAGCAAGTGATTGTACTAAAATAATAATCAGTTTACACAGCATAAAATGCTTTCCAACACAAATGATTGTACATAATTCCAATTTCCTGTTAACTAGTATAAAACATTTTGAAGTACAAAACCCAGCTTAAAAATGTTTGAGTTTAACAGGACATTGAGCTTCTTTCAATGGTTCCTGACATCAGCCAGCTCCAAAGCCCCAGTTTCAAGCATACTGCTCAGGGTAAAGAACTGCAGAAGGCTGACATAAACACTCCTAAGATGGCTCACAATTAGACAACTCATATGTTAGAATTTACCATCACCTACCACCACTACCACCTCACCTACTACACCACTACTACCTCACCTACTCCACTAAACCTAACCCACTACACCACTATCACTATCCACTACACACCATCCACTACACCTACATCTATATAAGGAACCCTTATATATACTAGAGGGCATTGGAAGACCCTCTCTATGATCTATCTAGCAACAATATCTAAGGATACCTTGAAACAAATCCCAAACAAAATTATTTAATGGAATACAATTATATAAGTAAGCAAGTCACCCAAACCCTTAAAAAAGGATCCTAGAGAAAGCAAGACACAGAAAAAAATCATTGTAAAATCTAGCAACTTACCTCAGCAAGATTGTGCCCATACCGTCTTTTATCCACAATGGCTAAAGGCGCATCAGATAATTTTTTTGCAAAAGCACGTGCTCTAGCCACCCCTCCAACATCAGGTGAGACCACGACCATATCATTAGAGCAAATCGTCTTGCTAGCAAGATAGTCAAGAATCACAGGCTAGTGCATGCAAAAGAAAAAATAATTAGAGACTAAATAAACAAACAATAATGTAATAATCAATGAATGTAAAATTGATTAAAGCAAATGATGCAGAGTTATGGACTCATTACCTGACAGTGCACATGATCCACTGGAATATCAAAGTAACCAATGGACTGCCCGGAATGCAGATCACAAGCAAGAACACGATCTGCACCTGCTTCTGTGATTAGGTTTGCCACAAGTTTTGCAGCGATGGATTCACGCCCTTGTGTCTGAATACAAAAGTATAAATGAAAAATATGAATTCATGGACACTCCCAGCAGTCTACACAAAATATATGATGATTGCCAACTCAAAATATACGATGACTGCATACTCAAAACATATGTGGTCTTTTTTTTTTTTTTTTTTTTTTGGTTTAGGTTCGGGGGAGGGGAAGGGAGAAGGGGAAGAGTGGTTGAACAATTGCTCATCATGGTTAGTGTCATGCCTTGCACTAGGAGATCACCTAGCAAGGCTCATCAGAACATAAAATACCCATGACATACATGTCTGCCAGATACCCAATGTTTGTATTCTGTCATTTCAGCTATGCTCAGACCACAAATCTATTACAAAAATAAAAATAAAAATCATCTAATTTATCAAAAAATAACATAAAAATCATCTAATCTGCACCTTAAATTGAACTTGCCTTTCTATCAGCTCTGGCATATCCAAAATATGGAATCACAGCAGTTATATTTTTAGCTGATGCCCTTCGACAAGCATCTATCATTATTAAAAGCTCCATGAGATTTTCATTTGCTGGAGGGCAGGTGGGCTGCACCAAGTACACATCACATCCTCTAACACTTTCTTGCAATTGAACATAAACCTCGCCATCAGCAAACCGCTTTATTTTGATTTTTCCCAGATCAAGGCCCATGTACCAAGCAATTTCCTATGCATTAAAATGACAATAAGTTAATCAAAGGAAAAATTAGGAGGTTCAGAAAATTGAAGAAAATTTGCAGCTCAAAATAACAAATTCATACTACATCACAACCATTAGCATCATGAAATAGAGACAACCAAACACTCTGCATTTTTTTCTTCCAACCACAACTTTAAAACAGATGAAAATAATTGAAATAAGGATAATGAGGATGTCATACACAAGGATATGAAACCAGTATCATCAAAAGTTAATGATGATCAAAAGAAAATTTCATTTCATCAAAGTCCCTATAAAGAATCAACAACAATCCTACTTTCAAGAACTTCAAAGATTTATGCAGTTTCAAAGGCGCAACCAAGTGCCATTAAAGTACTTGATTGACATTATTAAATGGAAAAAGCCCAATGGATGACTTCAATGTTCCTCCTAAAATACCAAACTCCTAAAACTATAAGTGGCAGCAAAGAAACACACAAAACAAAACAAGATAAAATAAGAGAATTAAACAAGCAAAACAGTAGACAATCCCAGTTAGAAACTTTTCATCAATTTTTAACAATCAAAGAGTACCTAGATGGAGTTAAATTTAGTACTTTTTTTCCCTCACAAAAACATCAGTTAGGAACCCCCTTGCATCTAAGACATTGGTCTCAAGCTCCATATAAAATGCTTTGCTCCATATAAGGGTTTATAGAATTTAGGATTAACACTGTCCAGCTCTGATCTTTGGTGCTTTTTAAATTGATTCGGGTAAGGTTCATGGGAAATGCAAATGTCATGCATTGCACTCAAATCTTTAGGTTGCTTTATTTCTTACTACAGTACCCGATATAGCTGAATGGTTAAAATGGTTTCATGTAATCAACCTCATAGCGCCTGGGATTCAAGGCTTACTGAAGCTGACTAAAAGACCAGACACTGCACAAGAAGTAATATTTGAATCTTCTGCAGTGCCAAATCCTTTTAACACAATATCCGCAAAGACAGCTATGATTGTGTCAATTTTGGAATCCAAAACACCCAATGTTGAAATGATATTAAGTGAACTAGGAGAAAAAAAAGAAGAAATCTTTTTACCTGAGAAAGAGAAGGATTTGCTGTGCCAGAGAAAATTTTCAACCGGGTATTGTTTCTATTAAATGCACTCTCCAGACGCTTGGATGCCAAGAACTTGGGTGGAGCTCCATCAACAAGTATCGGAATACATGGCTTTCCATTCAATGGTTCACCGAGATCACATTTCTAAATATCAAAAATACCCATATCAACAATTTATGAAGATTAACCAACTTATATACCCAAAAATAAATAAATAACTTTATCCTGTAGTTCCTTTAAAATATAGTAGGGATTTAAAATATAAACTCATCCACACATGCATAACAATTATTACATAATTTGACCGAACCAAAACATTTGTTCCGATAAAAACATTCTCCCCATGCTTCTTGCGTAGATTTAAACAGATTGAACTCATTTTAGAGCTCAAATGAAATCAAAAACAAAAATTCAAAAACAAACTATGGTTGGTTGCTGAGAAAATGAAAGAAACAAAATACAGTATAATTTTTTTAGTTTTCTACGCCTCCTTGTTTGGCACTGGCTCCTTAAGCATATGCAAGCCACTTCGACCAACGAATTACGAACCAATGATGCAATCAAAGCAGCGTAATAAAATAAATGCGCAAAAATTTTCTCGCTCCTTTTTCCTTCACTTTCTCAGCAGCCAAGCGAATGTCACGAAATATTCGGGAAAAAAAAGAAAAAAACTTACGACGCTGTTTATTCGAGGACGAGATTCATTGAGAAGGAAGCTCCGGTGGTTGAACGAGCAACGAGAGAACAAAGAAGAAGATGATGATGTTGAAGAAGACGAAGGCGATGGCAGAAACAGAGAAGCCATATATATAGATATAGATGGGTATGTACGTATATCTGTGAGATAAGGGGCTAGGGTTTGTTGAGAGAGAGAGAGAGAGCTTGGATGGAGTGGAGCTTCTCTTCTTTAATTTTTGGTTTTTATGGCGCCTCGCGTCTCTTTTTTAACGCGGATTTCGTTTTCGTGGGCGCAGAGCTCTCCGCATAGTTGGCAACTTGGCAGCCGTGCAACGACGTCGTTTGTAGTCTGCAAAACTATGCTGCATTTTTCTTGTGTTTTTTTGCAGTGTGTGCCGACTGATTTTTTTTTATTTTTAAAAATAAATTATGGGTTGTTTTAAACAAGTTTTCTTGGAAAAATAACTTGCCAAACATGTTTTTTTTAAAAAAAAAAACAGAATCAACAGGGTACTGAATGTAACGATAAATTATATGGAAATTATAAGTCAGTATTTTCCCAAAATAATTACATACTTATGGTAAATTTTGAAATCTTAATAATTAAAGTTTGTAAAGTTTACTATTAATCTGAAATTTTTTTCCCCCCTATACATACAATAATTTGTTATTTTTCCTTGATTGGTTTAAACTGATTTTTTGATTTTTCCTTTTTCCTTTTTTGTGTTTTTAGTGATTTTTAAAAAAATTTAAATTTTTAAATATATTAAAAAATAAAATATTTGTGAAAAATTATTTAAAAAAAGAAGTCAATAAATACAAACTTATTGAATTTTTATTTTCATTTTTGTATTTAGTGAATTTAAAAAAAAAATCATAAATATTATATTTTTTAAACATATGGTATATAAAAAAAAATTAAAAAATTACTTAAAATATTGAAAAATCACTAAAAATAATAAAACAAAACAAAACAAAAATTCAACGTATAGAAAATCAGTTTAAACCAAACAAGTAGACTACTATCTTGTCATTTTTGTGAGAAATATATGTTTCCTTCCAAGTCAAGTAGACCAACTTTTCGTGAGCTTTGAGGTGGCCGGTGCTTATGCTTGCAAAGAACCAATGCCAGACGCTTCATCCCTGTGCACTCAGAGCCACACATTAACAAGATGGCAATTCAATATTTTAATTTAAAGTCACTAAAAAAAAATAAAAATAACTAATAATTTATATAAAAAAATTAAAGATTCTGTTTTTCTCTTTACTTTTCACATATTTTTTCATAAAAAATCAAAAAGTTACTAAAATAGTCTATTCTCAAACGAGGCCGTTTGAATTGAGTATTTTAATTAAATTTTTAATTTTTTATGAAAAAATATGTAAAAAATAAAGAGAATGATGTATCAATTTATAATGATTTTTTTTACTACAAACCCATGTTGCCAAAAGAAGCCTAAATTTACGCCTTGCATTTGGAATTTTCGACAACTTTCTCATTTGGAATTCTGGGTAATAGACTTTCTACAAATTATCAAGGAACCAAATTTCAAGTTCTCTGTCATAGTCTAGGCTTAGAAAAACAGATGCTAAAGATGTTATGGAACTCCTTCAACTTCAACAAGAACAATCACCAGACTTATTTCATCAATTTATATCACCGCCTATGCATATTAATACGACAAACACTATAAGTACATATAAAACTCATTTATGTGTATATAAAAAAATTGTAGCCCTTGTGGAGAAAATGCTTTGAAGAATCAAGACTGGATATAATTTTTCTAGTTAAATGTTATTAATTTATGTACACTGAGACTATTGCATCAATTGAAGTCAACTCATCAACAACACAAAGACAAGAGCCTATACTTCTACATATAAGAATGAAATATGAAAACAACCACAAGTCCATATATTATCTAGTCTTAACCAGCTGCCTCCATGCCTACAGCAAAATGGCTACAAAGACTGGATTTGTTGTTTAGGCAGCCTCTGATGGTTGGTCTCCAAGTTTTGGTTCCTGGAAAGCGTATTGCAATTGAAAATGGAGTAATGTAAAAATAAAAATAACAATAATAACAATAAAGAACTTGTTTTTAAAGCAATCAAGTTGAAAGTTGCAAGTTATTGATGACAATGCTTCAGCAACGAAAGTTTAACTTTCTTCTTTTTTTTCTTCCTAAACCCACCAGATTTAGAGCGCTTACCAGATGCTCTGCACGCACGAGCATGCACACAAAGGAAGAAGAAGAAGAAGCAGCAAAAGAAAAATAGTTAATACCTCTTGAGAGAGTGGAGCTTTAGACAAAGACTTAAGCTGGCAGCTTTCAATATTTGCAAGTAGCTGGATTACAGTCTTTAGATGAGGAACACTGCAATAATTGAATCCCAAGTAAACTGAGACAACTGACCATAAACAAAATGCCCAGTAATTCAAAATTATATAGACAAATCAGTAAACAAAAGTGGGTTTTCCTTTTTCCTTTTAAATTGAGAACTCACTCTCAAAAAACTCTCTCCATGCACAGCAAACCACCATATATGTCTTCATCAACAAGAGTATATAGGTTTGACAGGTTCAAGCTTGACGTGACTGAAATATATGCACAGTATCTTAATATGTTACTAACAACTACACCTGATCTGCCAAGAAGTATTATGAACATACAACGTTCATTTCTGGTGTTGGACTGACTTTTTGTATCTCAAGAAATCAGTGAATCGAAATAGGATCTTGCTCATGGTAATCATCTATTTCAGCTTTTCCTCACAAAAAATAATAATAATAATAATAACTTTTGCAACCCCATCTGTCGCGACCCCCTCCTCCCGTCGCAAAAAACCAGATTACCGTCGCAAAAGGTATTAGCGACGGTTCAGGGAGCATTTGCGACGGCCGCTTACCGTCGCAAAAAACAAATTTTTTTGTAGTGCTTATCTGATTCAATCCCCAAATTGTGCTTCATCATACAAGCAATCACACCAAACTACCAAAGTGGAATCCTCAGGAATGGGGCCACTTAAACTCAAACTACTTCGTTCACCTTTACAAGTGAAAAATACAAAATAACCCCAAAGGGTTGGCCTAGCGGATGCAGCTTGAGGTCTAGAGGTGTGGTCCCTCTAAGTCTCAGGCTACGTTATATAGACTCTTCAGAATTTCAGAGGTACCCGTGTCGACACGACACGAAGCGGGTACGGGTACGGGTGCGGGTGCGGGTGCGGGTGCGGGTGCAGGTGCAGGATATGGCTATGGCTATGTTCAGAAGAAACAAAAGAGAAGAGAGCAAGGTGAGAACCTGGTCGCCGATCTGTGTGTCTGTGTCAATCAACTTCCCTGTGTGTTGATTTGTGTCTATGTGTCGATCTCCTCTCCTCTCTCTCTCTGTCTTCATCTCCCTCGATCTCCTCTTCTTCTTCTCTCTCTCTCTCTTCTTTTCTTCATCCTCTCTTCTTCTTTTTCTTCTCTCTCTCTCCTCCTCCCCCCTTTTAACATATAATAAATAAATCATATAATTTATTATATAATAATAAATCTAATTAAATCATATATAATAAAAAAATCTAATAAAATCTATAAAATAAATCATCTATTTTTTATTTTTTATTTATTTTAACATATTTTATTATTCCTTATTTGTTATACTTTTCTTATTTATAATATATATATGTCAATTAAAAATAAATTATATAGATAAATTAAAAACATTATTGATAAAAATAATACGCAAGATAAAAAATAACTATTTAACTCATCTTTATATAACAAATATATTTAAAAAATAACTATTTACCGTATCTTCGTACCCATATCTAAATTTGGATCCATATGCATGTATCCTCAATTTTTAATTTTGAAGTGTCCAACTCCTAGATACGCACCCGCATCTAATACCCACACCCTATTTTGTGTAATGTAAGTCTTAGGATCAACTTCCACTAGGTACTATCAACTCCTTGGGGCCATGGACTTTGCCCAAGACTTGTCTGATCCACATGCAGGGGGCGCTTTGCGTAGGTCCCGGGATTAGTCGAGGTGAACGTAAGCTGGCTCGGACACCCGGTCATAAAAAATAAAATATAAAATGTAAAAAGTAAGAAATACAAAATGCAGTTCACAATTCAAGATGTCAAATGCTGCAGCAACTCAAATTCAAGACGCAAGGGCATTGACACGTGTGTTTTTATAAGTTCTTTATGAGACACAAATACTTCACAATCAGTTGGCTAGATTGGAGAAGAAAGAAGACCAATAATACAATCTTTCTGCATATTTTTTCAGTAAATAAAGGTGGTCTCATATCTAAATGTTGTCAGCAACCTGCTTCAAGCTAATCATAGAAGGGATGCATTTAAGCAAATTAATACACTAACACTAGTGTAACATTAACTTATTGGATTAATAGGCATTGAGCCGATGATCAAGAGTCTTAAGACAAATCCGTGTTTTCCAGTTTCATTCTACTCTCAAACATGAATAGAAAATTCACAATAGTTTAACTGATACAAGACATCCACAGGGAGTTTAAGGACTTCATTAGCTTTAAGGAGTTAATTAATCATTTTTTGTCAAAAGACCATAACAAAAACTGAGCATGTGTAACAAAAATACATGATGAGCAATTTACAAATGTAAACACATTTTAAATACCTAATTATTTCAATTCCTTAGCTATCAAAATTATTTATATATTCTTATGACATATGCATCAACACTTCTTTTTTTTCCTTGAGTCCAAAAATCACATCCCCCCTCGTGTGATATTGTTCCCTTGGAAAATTTTAGAATGCGGGATAGGATCATCAAGAAACTAAGAGAAAGAAATCGGACAAAAGATGAATGAAATGAAATGGAACATAATCAGTTATTACTCTAAGGTCTAAAACTAATTTCATCATCCATATAGCGACAAGCATGAGCTTCAAAAATAAAACAATACAACATGATAGAACTAGTTGAGCACAATTCATATTCTCATCTAATTGTTTGTATCTCAGTTTTTTCACTAGAGCATGTCAAGGAAAAAACAGTTCATGAACATGATCAACTTATTCACAAAACCAATTGTAGTTTTATAGCCCTAGAGCAGATTATGGTGCATCAAAATTTATAAGCATACATTTTTGCACAATGTTCACATTCTCTCTCTCTCTCTCTCTCTCTCAAATTACATTGTTTTTCATTCTGTCATAAGAACTTAAAACTATAACGAGAAAGAAGATTTTGTCTTGTGTAGTCGACAAATGCAACTCAACAATTATATGGCGACATAGAAGGTTTATCTTAAAATGAGAGTGGCTTTCAGCAAGATATCAATTATTCAATGTCAATGATACAATATAACATGAAAAAGGGTTGCAGGAAGCAACCTTTGCAATCCATTCTCCATATGTGCATCCAAAGATGATATTACCCGAGGCATCTGCTCTAACACCTGCATCAAATAAGACAGCGGCAAAGATATTATAAGGAAATTATTTCGAAGAGACATCCGTAGTAGAAGTTCATTATCATTCAGAGGAACTATGTACCAGCCCAGTGTTCTTAATAGTAGAGGTTTTAGCCAAAAGGTTCTTCGGAAGCTTTATTAACTGGGCCTGTAAATGAGACAATGGATTTGAGTGATCACACACAGTAGTTAGTTACCATTGTGGCAAATACATAAAAATTAACGTTCTTATAAAAACTTGTAAGAACTAAGCTTCCATTTGGATAGATGAATTTCAAATAAAGGGATTTAAAGTTGAATTTTATAAAAATGTAGTTATTATAGGTAGACTAAGAAACTAAAAGAGAAGAAAAATTAAGGATTTCAAATAACTACTTTTACATAGTTATTTATTTCAAATCCATGGTTACAAAGCTCTCAAATTAATCCATATCTAAATTATCAAATTCAAAAAATGAGTTATTCTCCTTGAATGAATGAATAGTGCCAAATCCTGTAATTTCAAATCCATAAATCCAAACACAACCTAAATGTCTTCAAGTACGCTTGTTAATGGTGAGAATGAGCAATTCACATCAAGATTACGGAACTGAGAATTGATAGATGGACAATGCATTAAACAGAAAATCAAAAAAATTTACTTGTAGCTCTATACATGAAAAAGAATTTATATTTGCACCACCAATCAACTTCACTATTTAATCCATGCCTTACCACAAATTTCTAATTTTTCACTGGACTGTTAATAGAACCAGTTCTTTTTCCCACACACGCTCAAATTCACTTTTCCAATACAGCAAAAAATCATAAAAACAGCACAAAAAACAAATGGACCCTATTTCTTCAAGAACGACTCAGACGATAGAATTAAACTGAGATTTCATCAAAATCGTGTGTGTGTGTGTGTGAGAGAGAGAGAGAGAGAGAGAGAGAGAGGTGCCTGGGAAGGAGAGGATTGTTGCATGAGGTGGAGGAGATTGGAGGTGGATTGAACGGCCTGAGAAATTTGATCCGCTACCATCGCTTTTGCTGACCCTTCTCTGCTGCTGCTCGCCGCTTCTTCCTCCGCCGCCGCCTGGTGCTGCCGTTGAAGTCGAAGTTGTCGCCATATTTCACAGTGATTGGCGCAACGCAGGCGATCAGGGTGATAGATCGGCGACGGCGATGTCGCACATCAATGGTAAAAAAAATTCCCTTTATTTATGGGGTAGGATAATGAATTCATGTAACTAGTGTGGCCTATACGAAACTACATATACAATTGGGTCAGATTCGAAATACCAACAATCATTTTGTTTTGAAATTTCATGTTACAAATCGTATTCAACTTCAACATAATTAGCCCAATAAATTTGAGTAAATATTTCGGTTAAAATTTTTACATCAAATCAAGTGTTTCAAGGTAAAAATTTTAATATTTGTCAAATAATTAGTCAACCGGCCTCATATAAATTTTCTTCAATTCAATCATCTACTTGATTATTTTGCCGATCATCCATCTAGTTAATCGACCAGTCATCCATTCAATTGTCCACAAACAATCATTTGCGAGATTTGATAAAAAAAATTAAACATTCTCTTGATTTGATGAATAAGTAAGGCTTTAATGAAAAAAGTAAGACTATGGATTGTTTTGAGAAATTGGTAAAAAGTTGACTTTTGATTTTTTATCAAGTTTTTTGGCTTTTTTGGAAGTGATTTGGAAAGTTAGTAAAAAGTTGACTTTTTACTTTTTAGTTTAATATTTATTTATGGTGTCAAATCAAATTAAAATGATCAAAATACCCTTACCCAACATAAAAGATTTATTTATTTATTTATTTTTCATAGGCCCTAATTTGTAATTTTACAGGTGCGTTTTTGGCACTTGCCAAATGGCTTTTCTAACGTTTTTGACAGCAACGTTTTTGGATTGAAACACCGTTTTTATCAAATTTTTATCAAATTTAAATTTGATAAAGATTTGAGCCTAGGTTAGAGATGGTTTTACCATTGTAAACCTATGCATCCTCTCATAAATATGCGTAACTTTATTATAAAATTTTATAAATTATAAAATACATAATCTCGTTACAAATTAACGTAACAAAAAATATGGTAACTCAAATATAAACTTTGATAACATAAATTAGAAAATTTTAAATATCTTATCATACTAATTTACGACAATGCTATGCAATTTTTTGTTTGTTTGTTAATATTATAAGATTTTATATAGAGTGCATATGGTATGTGCACACCATAGCTTTCCCTTGTAAACAATTGAAAAGCATAAAATGATTTTTGAGAAATTATCAGTTTTCATGATCTTTTAATTAGATATGAGATTGATTAAAATAATTTTTTTAGATATCTAATCTCCAAACAAAATAAATATGATACACATTATTTTTAATCAAATAGTTCAGATATTATTTATCCCCAAAACTTTAAAAAGCGATTGCGGTTGCGGAATATAGAAGTCGTAGCGTAACGATTGTTGTAATTGGAATTGTGTTTTTTTTTTTTAATTTTTTACACAATTTGAAGAAAACTTACCGATACGCATATGTTTTTTTTTTTCCTCCTTCTATAATCACATTTATTAGGATTTAAAATAGATTTTGATCAAATTTTGTTAATTTTTAAGTGTAATCCAATATATTTCACATTTTCCAATCACTATAAAAGGATTTTGTTACATTTTATTTCAATAGTTAATGATTTTAGGAATGACTGATTTTAAATGTCTACAAATTATTTTTGACTAGTACTTGAACTAATTGAATAAAAAATATTCACAATTATTAAATGAAATGATAATAAAAATAAAAATTGTGCCATAAATAAAAATTATTTTTGAGACATTTTTTAAGACAACACTTTACAGGTAAATAAATAAAATTATTTACTATTAAGTATTAAATAAAATGATTGTAAAAATAAAAATTGTGTCATAAACAAAAAAATATTTTTGAGTTTTTTAAAGACATTTTTTAGACAATACATTATAATAACAAAATAAAAAATATTTATAATTAAGTACGAAATAAAATAATTATAAAAATAAATAAAACTATTGTTTATATATTTTTTATTTTACATGCTAATATAATGAAATAAAATTTTTAAAAAAATTATAAAGAAAATAAATTCATATAAGATTTTTATTTATTTTTTTTTTTTTAAGACTTGGGTTACTTGATTATTTGTTCTTATATATATATATATTTTAGAAAATGAAGTTGTTTATAATATTATAAAAGGGTGTAACCGTGTGTAATGGACTATTACAGTACCGCTACGGCCATTATATAACACTGAAACGATAATTACATATGTAAATTTCTATCAGACTACTGTTACAATCGTAATAAGTGATAATAACCATCACAATTATTACATAACGACATTACGTAACGATTAGAATTGTTTTTTAAAACTTTGTTTATTCCGCAACTAAAGTCCGTTATATTGCACTTCTTTTATCAAGTTGATTTAGGCTAAGTTTGGCATTTTCAAAAAAAAATCAAAAAGTTAAAAAGTTACTATCCTATTTAACTTACATCATCTTATTTAAGTTATATTACCTCTCTACCACATCACTTCAAACCTAACCCATATTTCATAAAAAATATATTTATTTAGAACATCCCAAACAACCCCTTAAACAAACATGATTCGTACATGAGCAAAATTAGAAGGAAAAAAAAAATTAAGGCAAAATGACTTAGGCATAGGGGCAATTTGGAAAGTTCGCAAGAAATTATTTTTTTGACTTTTTAATTTTTTTTACATAAAAAATTACAAAAAAATTAAAAGAGTCAATTTTTTACTAATTTTTCAAAACACCACATAAATGGAGCCGAGTATAATTCATTGGAAATATGGCCTTGTTTGGATGTAAGTTTTTTAATTTTTTTATTAAAATAATTAATAAAAATAAAATAAAATAAAATAATTAATAAAATAAAATATCACATTTAAATTATAATTATTTTATATTTTCTTATACACTTATCAAATCAATTATAAAAAAAAATTCTATATATCATTCCAATCATAAATTTTATAACTAAATTAAAATAATTAAAAAGTTAACTACAATAGTCAAATTGTGAAAACGGGGCATACGTAAAAAATTATTTGGTACGTTCACCCTATGCACTATGTGGTGTGTCCTAGGGTAACAAAGACGGGGACGCAAAAGCCGAAAGAGAAGAGTCTCTGGAGAGGGAGAGAGAGAGAGAAGAGAAAGATGAAGCTTTCGCTGAAAGTTCAAGATCAGGACCAGACTCCCCAATCCCAACACCACCACCCACTCCTCCTCCGTGCCAAAGTCCCCATCACCGTCTTCGGCCTCCCCTTCCTCTCCGGCATCTCCGCCACAGACCCTTCCAACCTCTCCTTATCTCTCCGCTCCAACTTCCCCTCCGGCCCTTCCCTCAAACTCTCCTACTCCCCCACCACCACCACCACCACTACCCCTCTCTCCCTCACTCTCAAATCCGGAATCAGCCTCTTCGGCTCCCCACACAACTCCCCCCTCATCATCTCCGCCCACTTCACTGTCTCCCCTCAAAACCCTAACTCTCCCCCGTCTTTCTCTCTCCAATTCAAGCCCCAATTCGGTGATTTCTCTCTCTCCAAAACCACCCATTCCTCAAACCCTAATTCCAAATTCAATTTCGACGCCACTTCAATAGGGTTTGTTCCGCTCGAGCGACCTCTGGCCTGGAAGGACTTGACTCTGGAGTCTAAAGACTCACTCTTGTCCGGAATTGCTGTCACGGCGAGGACCGCATTGCCGGTGACGAAGCGGGTTGCGATGAATTTCCGTTGGGGGGTCAATTTTCCTTCTGATATCAGGAAACAATTGCCTTTCCTAACTGTGAATAAGATTGGTATAGAGAGGGTTGATGAGGTAAAGGAAACGAAGGAAGTGAAGGTGAAGAATAGTGAGAGTAATTTAGGTGATTTGGAGCTATTGAAGGGCTTGTGTCTCTCGGTGACCCGAGAATTGGAGGTTTTGCAGGTGGAGAATAGAGAGATAAAGCAGAGATTGGAGGAGATGAGATTCGGAAAGTGGCGTGGGCACAGTGAAAATGTGGCGAAAAAGGTGTCACCTGTGATGGAGAGTTCTGGTGAGTTTGAGCAGTGGAAGAGCAAGAAGAGCGGCGGGGAAGAGAATGGGAGGAAAGAATTGAAGAAGAATGCGAATCGGGCGAGTGATGTAGAGAGCGAATTGCAGAAAGCTATAATGGCTGCTGCCTCTCAATGAGGTTTGAATTTATTCCAGTTTTCAATTTCCTTGATCAGCATTTGTGTGTATATATATTAGAATTAAGCTGTTTTAACTCAAGTAATGAATTTTCTAATTGTCTAATAAGTATAATTGGGATGCCAATATGTTCCAGGATTTTGTTGCCTGTTTAAATCATCACGCGAAGACCTGCTTACATTAGATCTGTTTATTGGTGGTATTAGGTAGATCAGTAGTGGCTTTGTCCAAATCATTAGACAGTTGTGCATTGCTTTGTAAAAGCCAAAGTTGCTTAGGCAATTGTAGGAGCCAATGAGATATTCTGTATGGCGATAAACATCTCCTTCATCACAAGCATTAAAGCAGTAGATTTTGTCAGCAAAAACCATGAGACTGGCTGGTGTTTCCGAGCTAAACTTCATCCCTGTTTCTTCTTCTGTTGTCTTTTCGTCTTGGTAGTTGATTATATTTATGAGATTATTGTGTTGTTTAGAAATCAGGGTGTTAAAACCTATGCATTAGATGTATGTTTTGTTGCTGAAACCTCACATTCCTTCCCTTTTTTGGGTTAAATAACTATATCTGTGGGAAAAAGTTTTCAAATTAGTAATTAGTGCATTAGAAACTATGCTTAAATCATTCGGGTTCCAAATTGTATGGGCTTTGGTATTCAATACTAGAAATGCTGTTCTCCCCTTTTCTATGTTCCGGGATAAAAAACTAAGGTGAAAGGAAAAAAGAAAAAAATGGAACTGAGGCAGACCATGGAAAAGTGATGGTCGTTTGGATGATGTTGCTGCCTATTGTCTAGTTTGAGTGAGAGATGTGCAACAACAATGAAGATAGATATAATACAATTGAATAGAATCAAATAAGTCAGTGTAACATAACCGAATTTGGATTCCTTCTAACGAGTTTAGAACCCTCTACTTTTTCAATTTCTTTGTTTGCCTCTAGGAATTGAATCACTCGATATGCTAATTGCAACTTATGACTCAAATTAGTAAGATGGGAAGCTTGGTTTGACCTTTTTAATTTCTTCTTCTTTTCTTTCCCCTTTATATATATATATATATATATATAAAAGAAGACAATTTAGTACACAAGGCTCACGCTTAAGTGGGGTGTGGGAGAAAGTTTGGCATTCATTCTGTCCTTACATGGATGTTCGATTTGGTTAACTTCTTTAATACATCCAATCTATCAAGAAAACTTCAGCAAACAGATTCTATGGATCTTTTCCACACATGGAAGTAGTGTTTGGAAAAGTTAAAATAATGTTTTGAGTGTGCTTTAGTTTTGAAGCTCTTTGAACTTTGTTTCTTCCCTGTGAGAGCGTCTCCAACGCCTACTCTGTTCTTTCGTCAAAGTCTCCAACGCTTACTCTGTTCTTTCATCAAATTTAAATTTGATGAAAAAAGTTTAGTTTTGGTGCTTCAATGTTAATATCAAACTAGTATCAAATTGAGAATTTCTTAAAGTTTTTTTTGTCAAATTGAGAATACCTGGAGCCTTTTATCAAATTACTATAAATAGCTGTTAGCTTCGCATGTATGCAGGAGCATCAGATGATTGGCAGGTTGTCCCTCCCGACATCCACTTCCTTGCAATTTACTATAGAAAGTCTTTCAGAATTTGGACAATTTACACTAGTCGATCGATCAGTATTTAGACGAAAATTTAAAATTCTCTATTGCATCACTCAATATCAAATGAAGTTTTTACTTAAATTTGATAATAATTTTTTTTTAAAAACGGTAAACGTCAAAGATATTCTTGACGGATTTTGTGTACCAGTGGTTCTAAGAAGTGGCAGTCCGTCATTGAACAAACAATATATAGGGTCTGTTTGGCAAGTTAGTTTCGGGCTATTTTAGTCACAAAAGACAAAATAGGCTATTTTAGTTATAACAAACAAAATATCACATCCAATCCATAATTATTACACTCTTCTCTCACAAAAAAATCAAAAAAGTTAAAAAATTATTTTCAAATTAAACTGTTTAGCCTAGGTTAAAATAGTTAAAAAAAAAAGGTTAAAAAGTTAAAAAGTCAATTCACTTTCCAAATGGAGGCATAGATTGGCGTTGATGTGGTTAATTTGGGGTGAACGGAATAGAAGAATTTTTGTTGAAAGAAAGTGCCCAATTTTGAGTCGATTATTATCCTTTTTCTATAATTGGTTTTCGGAAGGGTTATTCCCTCATGAACCCATTTTCGGATTTTGTTGAGACTTGTGAATAATTTTTTTTATTTATTTTTAAATGTAAATTTGTATGAGTTGCACTCCATTGGCGTCTCTGTTAACAATATATCTTTGGCCTTGTTTGAAAAGTTGATTATTTTTATAGGTTATTTTAGTTTTTAACTATTTCAGTAGGTTAAAATTTTTGTTTTTGAAAAGATGGTTGGATTTTTTTGTAATTAAATGTGATATTTGTGAGAAAAAAAAAGTGAAATGATTATAGATTTGATGTGATATTTTGTCTTATTAATTATTTTATCTTGTTTTATCTTTTTGTGATTTTTAGTAAAAAAAATCGTCTAAATCCAACTTGTCTTTATATATATAATAAAATAAAATAAAATAAAACCTAGTTTGTACTCCTATCCTGCGTCTTTATAATTATGTTGCAACTTGCAACAAACTGGTATTTATGTGTTGATTCTACAATTTGAATGGAATAATGTAGGAATGGCAATGGGGCAGGGCGGGGCCGGGGTCCCTCCCCATCCCTGATCCCTGAAACTACAAAAATTCCCGTTCCCGGTCTCGATCCCCGACAGGGAACGCATCACTCCCCTCACCCCCGCCCCCCAACGGGGATCGGGTTTCTCCGACCCCGAAAAATCCCCGTACTCATCATTCAGCAACATCATCCAAGAAAAAAAAATTCATCAACAAAGACATCAACGGCAACAATACCATCAAAAAAAAAAAAAAAAAATTCATCAACAACATCATCAACTTATCAAGGCATGGACAAACAGTTTTGCATCAAACACAAATTATTTGAAAGCCAAGTCTAGTATTAGTATGTTTGGCCGCTGAGAAAGAAGAAAAGACTACAACATCATCAACAAAAAAAATAAAAAAAGAAAAGAAAAAGATAGAGACAGATCTGGCAGAGGAGGACGCAATCGACGGTGGCGGAGGGATCTTCTCAGATCTGTCATGGCAGAGAGAGGGAGAGGTGAGAGGCGACGGAGGAGGAGGCCGGCCCATGAGAGATGACGGAGGAGGATGCCGTGAGTAGTAGCAGCAGCGGAGGACGGAGATCAGCCGAAGATGATGGAGGAGGAGGGAGATCGGTCGGAGGAGAAGGGAGATCGGACGACTCATAAGTAGCTGCACTGCGCGCAGAGGGGGAGAGAGAGAGAGAAGAGAGAGAGGCTGAGAGAATATGAGAATGTGAATGACTAGAGAGCAGACTCAAAACATATGTATCTCTTAGGAATATTCGGGGAATATTCAGGGCAATTGTCGGGGATAATCCGGGGCGGGGTCGGGGCGGGGCGGGGCAGGGAAATCTATCCCCGTTGCCGGCCCCGGCCCGAAAATTATCGAAGATTCAATTTTCAATACCATCCCCGGCCCTATGGGGATAATTTTCGGAAAAAACCCGTTCTAATCGGGGTCGGGGGATCGAGTCCCCGTCGGGCCGGTTTCAAATTGCCATCTCTAGAATAATGTAAGGTTCTCCAAGTATGTTACGGGTTGAGCATGGACACTTGGAAGTTTTTTGAGAAGATAATTAAAAGTTGAAAGAAAGTGGCTAAAATTAAGATTTTTTTTTTGAATAAAATTTTTAGATTCAAATTCACATGTTTAAGTACTTATATCTCTCTTGTTGTAATTATGTTTCACTTCATTTTGTCGTTAGATTCAAAGAGAGGGAGAGGGAGAGGGAGGGGGGAGAAGAAGAGGAAGAAGAAGAAGAAGAAGAGAAAATTAGGTCATGACGGCAAGTAAAAATATGTGGAACAAGACATATGGAGAGTGGAATGAAAATTAGGTCATAAGGTGAATTTAACGACGCAAAAATGAGGTGAAATGGAGTTACGACGAAGGAGATATAAGTGTTTGAACATGTGGGTTTGAATTTAAAATTCTGTCTAGATTTTTGTTCGTTTAATATGATGGAGATGGACGGAGGGACCGAATTAAAGTACAGATGAAATTTTAGGGTTTAATTTATCAAAATTAAAATTCTGAGGTTTAAATTGAAAAACACGTGAAATCTTGAATATTTTTTTTTTAATTAACCTAGATAACAAGTATAAATTTATAAACAAACTCTTTATTTTTTATGAAGAAAAATATAACTATAATTAGGATAAATTATAAATAGATCCTTGAGGTTTGCTTAAAATATAAATGATTTCTTGTGATTTGAAAAATTATAAATATTCCCTTATTAGAATTTTTTATTTAACAGAATTAACAAAAAAAATGAAATTCATAATTGTTCTCCTATACAATAATAAAATTACCTAAATTATTAATTGAAATATATTTTTAACATCATTAAAAATTGTTGATTGACTTGATAATTTACTAATAAAAATTGTGATTTGTTATGAAATTAAAAACCTCAGAGGGTGGAATCTAATTTTCAAAATCATAGGGATGATTCATATTTTAATTAAATCTCAAGGGTATATTTATAATTTATCCCTATAATTAGCAATTTAATTTAATTTCTATCATAAATAATTTACATAACCATTTTCAAAATAAACAAATAAAATAAATAATCGACAAATCCAATTAAAACCGACCAGCCCACCACATTGATCGATGGAGTCAAACTGCTGCAAAATGCTAAACGTTTTATGCGTTTTTACTCCCAAAAAAAAACAAAACAAAAAAACGTTTTATGCTTGCTAGCTTAAGAATGTGACCCGGATCATCTAATTCGCTTTAAAACCTGGCTTTATTCCAATGAATCCAGATACCCCCACAAAATTTTTACCGACTCACAAATTGCCTCATCATTCGGAGCCTGAAAAAACCATTGCCTCAACCAATCATGGACTAGACAAGGCACTCCATTTTCAAAATCAAGCCCAAGACTGGATCCCCTCCAACTGTGCTTAGAGAAAATACAATAAAAAAACAAATGCTCAAAACTTTCCTTATCCTCTCCACATCTAGAACAGGCGGTATCTACCAGAATACGTCTCCTACGAAGATTAGTCTCAACTGGCAAAATTCTACGCAAAAACTTCCATATGAACATGGCCCATTTGGGAGGCAAATTAAGTTACCATAATTTTTTCTAGCACTCATTTTCAACCCTAGAATCTCTATTACTAAGAACCTTTCTCCATTAAGAGCAAAATAGAAACCTGTCTTAACTGTGAGTACAAACGGATTGGATCGGATTTATCCGAGTCCGACCCGTTTAAAATCGGGCTACACAGATACGGGTTAAACAGATATTCGGATTCGGATTTGCATAAATGGACCGGATTAATCGGATCGGATTAGGA